GTCACGATGAATATTCAAATGAAGGTATAATTACGCTTTACATAGAATTACGTGAGTGAAATCAAGTATAGAAAGAAATCAATACAGAGTTGATATTACCACCGATAATGTTAATTCCAAATAAGTCCCTAAATTAGTTTATTCGACGGATAACGGATCTTAATAGAAATATTTAGAAGTGTTTTCTTTAACCTGTATTTTCTACATGTTTAATAAATCTTCCTTTTTTACGGCTTGCTTCAGCAGAAATATATGCACAGTCAAATATTCAGCTCTATATTACTTCAAACCTAAAGTGTTCGTTTAAAATTCAGTTTGCAAGATTACGCGTCGACCGGCGTCAGGATGTGGCGCAGTCGAGTACCACTCGACAGAGGTAGTTGCCATCACTGCAACCTGAGTACCAACTCTGTAATGACAATCTATTGATATCAAATTATGCAATAATTACACAACAAAATGTGACCTAGAGGAAGATCGCCTATGAGATGGACCGACCTGATTAGAACGGCTATGGACGTACCCTTGCATCAATGTGCGAAAAAAGCAGCATACAGGGAGGAGTGGCGGCGTCTTGTGAAGCGGGTCATTGATACGTGATAACCACGACGAGTCTGTAAAGACTCAAGCGACAAAGAAGAAGTTTACACTTTTTACAAGGAATGGTATTTTAGAGCCTGTCCCACCACTGACTGATAGAGGCTCAGATAGCTTAAAAATGACATCACTGTCATAAGAGGTAACAAAAGACGATACTTACCTCACATATTTTAAACGTTGGATTGTTATCAGACAATTTATAATTTGGTGAGACAGGCCCTTAGCCTTAAGATTTTCAGTCTTGTCTATGAGTCGCCTCCTGGTGTTTTGCCAGCGTTACCAAAAAAATATGTGCCAAAAAAGAACCTGGAAAATGTTATAGATAAAGAAAACTGTAAAAAAAGTGTTTTAATGTTTACAAGTGCGGCAGACTGGCATAAAATAAAATGTTGAGTAGTATATGTTTGTGTGACGATTAGATACGGCTTGCTTATTCTACTTTCACCATTATCTAAATAAAACCCATCCTTTGTCTAACTTAAAAACCGCAAATAAAGTTGTAACTTACGCCATCATTACATAACCCGATTTCTTATACTTTAAAAAATAGTTCTATTATCGGTCAATAACTCGTTAGAACGTTCATTTTTAAGGTTAAAGATTATCGTTTGCTAAAGAGTTAAATGTTATCGCGACAACGGATAGATACAATTGGTTAATTGTCGAACGGTTAGAGACAAAGGTCAATATAACCATAGAGACCTTTGTCGTGTATCGCACAGAGATATAATTATGGAAAGAGCGGACGCACCTTTGACTAAATGATTGTTGTGCGATTGTCAATTGTTTCGTAGCAAATTCAACTGTTTAGTTGTACAACTAAAAGTCGAGTAATTTCCACACCTCTATACATGATCATAGGAATCAAAGCGAGAATAAATAGTTGAGCAATAGGTTAGTTTCAGGTGTGCGCGCGCTCTAAGAGTAACAGACACTAACTACCCTTTGTCCGCGAATTCGTCAGCACATTTTTTTTAGTAATTTAATAGCCTGTCGTACTCAATGATAATGTAGCTTTTTGGCTAAAAACTTCTCGGCGTATTTACAACATTTTTTGCTATACCTACAATATTATAAAGTTTTCAGTAAAATACTAAAATAGAGTAATCGCCACTAACGTATTAAATAGTGTTTACTTAATATAAAATGTAGATTTTATATCTTAATAAATACAATAAATGTGATATCTTAGATGGACGGATGGATGGATGTTTAGTGGAGTTTTTGTGGCCTAAACTGAAGTCATCTTGATTAAATTGGTCATTGAGTGTAGTCTGGAACACATAAACTACTTCTTTTGTTTTTTTTTTTAATTCTACGCGTAAGGAGTCGCGCGCGAAAGAAAATTAAAAAAAATTATAACAACTGTTCATCGAATATCAATAAGTAAAATCAAGATAATTAGTATAATTCCTAGATAAGTCGATGTTTGACGAAACCTGACACCTGAAAAAAAAACATATTAGCGATTTTATGTAGCTCTTGAAATACTTATCAGGTAATATCTGTTTTTGTATGTTACGAGCATTTTTCCAAAATATAGATAACATGATAGTAAGGAAAATCAAGACGCAACCGCAATAAGTTGTTTAATTTTAAATTAAATATCTTGTCACATATTTAAAGCCTTTGCTTAATTACAGAAAGTCGCATATAAAAGTGGGGAAACAAAAAAAGAAATATTAAAGTAATGGCATTCCTAAAGTTAACTAAAGTGTGTTATTCCAGACTATTCTCTACGTCCATGACAACATTCATTGAGATCCGTTCAGCAGTTTAGACTACAAACTCTAACAATGCATCCATCTTAACTTTCGCAATTATAATACATATTAGTAAGATATGTGTTGCCCTTGTTTCCTGAATTTAATAGTTTCTTTTATGTAGTGTAGTGTGCCTTCCAGAGACACTTAGGGGAGAGTATTTATTAAAGTAATAATTATATCCTTTCTCCGCCTCCATGCCTTAGAAGACATCCGGTATACGAACCGAAATGCAATTACTGATGACGTGTAATAAAATTTATAACGCGGCATCGTTTCACTTCGATAAAAGTCGTAGCAAACATTCATTACATCCTCGATGCGATAGCAGGAGATGCACAGGTGTGGCAATCACGGCCAGGAATGCAGCAGGTGAGGTAGGAACAAGCTTTGCCTCAGAACGTTCAAATCACTTCTAACCGCAGGACTATGACCGACCATAGACTTAAGAAGGTCACGAATGACCATTCAATTGATTTTGTAAAATGTTGCTAGCAGAAAATAATAAATACAACCTTGTATTTATGACAATTAACTTGCTTTTTGGCAATTTAATTTATTGTATTGATATAATTTCGAGTGAATCGCGAATCTGAAATTGAATCGATCAATGAATGGACAAAAAAGGGAAAGTCTAAACGTTACGTCTTCGAAGGACGAGTTGCAATAATACTGTCACATTGCATTTAAATGCTGGTGAAATGACATGAATACTATTAAAAATGCATACGTAGATTCTTCCAGATCTTAAAAACCGGCTTATCGGTATCGTATCAAATTAAAAAAATATTTCATTTTATAAAATATGCAACAATCCTATTCACACTTGTGTAACGAATCAATTTCATACCTGATAAAAATGTAGTACACTTACAACAAAGGAATGTGAGGAAATTAAAACTATATTTCACAATAAATAGAATATAAATATAACTTTATTGATCTCAATTGCACTTACATAGTATCTTTTTACGTGTCCGTTAAACAAACCCTACTTTTACCACCGGATACACCTGACATTTGGTAAGTGTGTAATCTAAAATACACAGATCAGTTCAAAAAAACAAAAAGAAGAAATAACACAACTAAAATTATTGCTTAAATGTCTGTTAAGCGACAGGAGAGAAGTGTGGAACCTTTGCCTCCTGACTTGAAATGGTAGTGCGTCAAAATTAAACTAAATGTCTACTTAAATTAATAATTACTACTTAAATTAATACTTAAAATTATCTGTCTGTAACTTTCTACAATCTATGGTGTTCAACGTAATTCTAGACGGCTACGTATATGGTATGGTAAGTAAGACGATTAAAAAGTGCCGCGACAGGTGGCCGGCTGTTAGAAAAGCGTTAGGCTTAGCGAACTGGCTTCGTTGGGCTCGCTCTAGGATTTGTATTGAATTAGTGATGCATTAGAAGCCATCCATACGTGTTCAGGAGCCGATAATAACTATTATATTGAGTTAAAGGCGTCTAAGTTTAACTCGTACTACCAACACCTATTTATCTATTACTGTTTTATTTCCTTTCTACATGCAACCATGTTAATGAACTCTCCTTTGACGTATAAAGCTCGTACCAGGTTAAATTTGTTATCTGTGATTTCCCTGGTCCGTATGTTATCTGCTTCTGGAGAAAATAAACTACCAACAAGACACACCCCCCGAACAAGCCATATCAACACCACGGTTTAAATATTCTGATACAAATATTTATTCCATATCAAATATTATCTATTCCAATCCATTTTATTTAATCAGTCACAACTATTTTCTATTTTACTTAATTAGTTAGATTAAATTCTAAGCTTCTGATACTTAAATTTCAACTAATACGATAAAGCCCTTGACCACTTGTATGTACTTATCATATCTTATTAAAGTTAGAAATCTCAGCACGACTCGATAACAACGAAAAAATAATTAAAACTGATAAAAACTACAATCACTAATTTGCATAGATAAAAAATGGAACTTTTCTGCTAAAGACATATTCAAATAAATTATTAATTTAAAATCTCATTGTGTATTCCGTTCGATAGTGTATTTAACACAACAAGCATCTACAAATTCCCTATCTCTGAACATTCGGTGGTACAAAGCGTTCTTGGCCCGTTAGTTGCGTGTCAATAGATAAATGTACTTATACGTGGGCGCCTCGCACCTGCCAGCCTCTAATGATCACGGAATGGACTCTCTAACAAGATTCTAATAGGAAACGCGCGGCGCAGGCCACCTGCCCGACTCCTCCAATCACGCACCGACTCTGATACAACACCTACAGTTTAAATGAAGCTCCATTGTTACACTGTCACTAACGAATTTATTATTAAACCACGTACCAACTTGCTTTATGGCGTAACAAAAAATTGTATCTACGAAGAACAAATTGATGTTTCATAAATTGCTTTCTTAGTAGCAAATATTGCCTATTAAGAACTAAAAAACTAATTTAAGTAAGTCGTAATGTATTCGGTGAAAAGATTGTTGATTGGCGGAGATTGTTATCGAGAGAGATTTTTAAACATGTTTACATAGTAAGCTATAATCGTAATAACACCGCAAGGTTAAAGAAATATATCTGAATAAGTACAATGTAACTAAATACTTTAGATCAAAGCCTAAATAACTTATGTGTTAACTGTTCAAATAATAGAAATCATTACAAACGACGGTAACTACAAAAGTACAACAAAGCAAAAGTGAAACATTTTGGAAACATCAACTTGTAATGCAACGATACTGAGACTTTTTGTTAACTGTCCGTGAACTGGTGCAGGCGTCCATTGCGGCATTATATTTCTACATCGCCTGAAAATCTATCAACTAACTAATATAAATTAGACAATTTTCAAGCTGAAGTCAGTCACAACCGGACTTCCGATTGTAAACAACCAAGGAAGTCTACTCACAAAATGAGGGGTTTGTTGGTGTTAGGAGTTGTCTGCCTCGTGGCGGCTTGCTATGCTGAGCAAGCTGAGTCCGACATGGCCGTGGCCGAGACCAAGGGCCACCACCACGAAGAGGGTGGTGGACATCACCACCACGCGCATCATCACCACGAGCACGGTGGTAAAGGGGGAAAAGGCCACCACGGCCACCACCACCACCACAAGGGAGACGCCGGTCACCACGGCAAACATCACCACGAAGGACACCATCACGAGCATGGTGGCGGCCACAAGAAGCACTGGGACGAGCACGACCACCACGGTGAGCACCACGAGCACGGACATCACCACAAGGGTGGCAAGCACGGTCACCACGAACATCACGACAAGGGTGAGCACACCGACGGCTACCACAAGAAGTACCACAAGGACCACTTCCACAAGGACCATCACTTCCATGACGGACACCACGATGAAGGCAAACACCACAAGCACGGTCACCACCACGGACACCACGAAGATCATGGCGGTCACCACAAGAAGGGTGGTCACCATCACTCCGGACACCACGAGGGTCACCATGGCAAACATGGCCATCATGATAAGCATCATTACGGCGAAGATCATCATGACCATAAGGGCCATCACGGTCATGAAGGTCATGGACACCATCATGAAGGTCATGGCAAGAAAGGAGGTCATGAGGACCATAAGCACTGGGGATTCCATCATGGAAAACATTAAGAAACATATATTTGTAAACAAAACCTCTTCACAATCGTATAACTCTAATGGGGTAGTTAGATGTGAAGGTAATATCAGACGTCTAAAGCCAAATTTAAGCAAAACCAATGAGAAATGCATGACACGTGGTAACCATTTTAATGTTTTTGGTGACACCAAAGATGTTTTATCGTGCGACATTAAGAAGGATCATCTTACGCAGAGAAAACCACTCCTTTATTTTAATTTTAATTTTATAACTTTTACAATGTGACTTGATGTAATGATTTTGTATTGTTTTTATACTGTTTTTATACAAAAATATACGACTGTTGAAATGTTGTGTTACATACAGTATTTCTTTTATTGACTCATTTATGATGATAATTATTATTAGATGAATCCATTATGAACATCATTTTTACTATTACATGTTTTGTGCACTTCACAATCTACGCATTTAACATATCACGAACAATCAAATTCATAAAATAAGTTTGGTTTAACCAGGAAATCATTGAATGACGTTGCAAAAACTAATGCAAAATGAACACAGTACGTCGCTCGGTCGACAGCTGTTCGTATCACAGACAGAAAATGCCCACCGAACACCTGCCTATGTCAGGAAAATGACAATTTTCTCGGCGCGGAGAAATGCCCGCAGCCTGCGGCTTAGATCGAGAGAAATATAATTCAAGTGCGTCTGACGCATTAAAACCGACGTGAATATCGGTGTAACGAGAAAAAAATTATTGCTTGTGATCCCTACACAGATTACAGAATAAACCAATTTCTTTCAAAGAATAGATAGACCTGTGACTATCAGTAGCAGATAAAAATGTCAGGGATCAGAGAAATGTATCGTCTCCGTAATACCTAATAGTCCATTTAATGCCATTTCATTTCTTCTCTTATTTAGCTTTTCATATTACTAGAAAGTGAAGTGAAATATCTGTAAACATAATTTTTGAAGACTTATTTAAAGCCATTTATCTGATTATTTGGTGAGCCACCCACTTCATCTATCAGATCAACACATGTTTATTGTACTTAAAAATAGTTTAGGGCAATATAAAAATAATAACACAGAGAAATGTAGTTGAAGCATCGATAAAAGCGTTAAATTGTATGCAACCAAAGCTCGCGGCTTCAATTACCATGAGGTATGCAAGTTGCATACATTAAAATAATACGATAGCAGCGCAACGTGAGATATTAAAACCCGCGGGCGATACGTGACCATTAACAATGAAAGTTGGAGAGATTGATACAGATCGATGCTCGATTACAAAATGTGGAGGAGTGACACGCGCGGCGCCGCGGGGCGTATCTAGTTGAATTATAAACTACAAAGTAAAGTACCGTACGCGTGGGATAACAATGATGAAATTGTTAAATCGTATTCGTAATTAAGCCCCCGTAGCCAAGGGCTAAGAATATCTTACAACACAGGCGTTTGGTCTACGTTGGAAAAGTAGGATATGACTTGTATTAATTCAAGATGATTGTTTTGTTAAATGAGGGAACTCTATTAAGGTCAGTGTCTAAAGAAAAACCTGTCTAATCAAAGAACTTCATGAGGCTTGAATGCAAGTTTGTTAATAGGATCGAATTCTAGAAGCACATCTCTTCACGACCGATTATCCTTAGTAAAAACCTTCTTCTCAGTAGGGGTAACAATGATGGATAAATATGTTAAGCGCAAAACTCTAATTGATTTTTCGCATTCCGGAAAGCAAATCTAACAATAGTCCGTCAGTTTAATGGGAGATTTGTCACAAACACATTAGGTACAAGTGTTTGCAGGTGTTCCTTGTAAGTGGCCAATAAACTTTCGTGTGCGTTACATATTTATTTTAGTTTTAAACTTTTAAACGGCCACCATATACAGGTTGCTCGTTAGTTTACATGATTTTGAAAATAATAACTATTATTAATTCACATTCTATTAAATAATATTTTTATTTTCGTTTGCGAAATGAAATTTTGTGAACTGTGCTGAGCAGTATATCATATCATATTTTAATGAAATTATTTTAACAAAATATCTTATACATAGGGATATCTAAGTTTATTGACACGCGGTGGATCGATTTATTAATAGTGTTGAGTAACTGCCAATTATTTCTGACGATTCATTGGCAAGGTCTACTTTCAGCGTCACGTGAAGGTAATCAATTTCACTAATGATATATATACAAAAAATAGATGTTAGTAAAAACATTTTTGCGATTAAAACAAAACACAATGGAATTACAGATCATGCTCTATATGAGAAGAAGTCAGGGGCCACCTGTGCACACTTTGTGATTCCCACAACGCCTCCGCGTCAATATTGACACAGATTAAATCAATTCCATGGATGCTCGCTATCTCACGTCACAGACCTGTCCGAGGAGGAAGCGCACCGTTAACGCGCCCACGCACAGATTATCGAAAACCAAATAAAAAACTAAACTAGGCACAGGTGTCCATTGTGACATTCTTAAATCAATAATACTATTCTTGTTTAAATACCTTTAAAACCGATTTTAAAAGTTTCAACTCGACTGCATGTTTTTAAATACCCAAATTAAATAATTGATTGATGTTTGTTAGTTTGCCTAAATCGCTGAACGGATCTCGATGAAATTTAGCATAGATGTAGAGGATAGTATGGAAGAACACAAAGACTACTTACTTATGTTTTTTTTATTCCACGCGGACGAAATCTCGGACGAAAGCTTGTATTATATAAAATAGTTCGTAATACTACACTTAACATGATTAGTGCTATACTTATCCTAAATAATAATTATACATAGAGCCCTTGTCGATCATCCTGGGACCTAGGAAGAGTTAATTTCGAAAAGTTTTCTTCACCCTTTTATCAAGTCCTATTTTATACATCATAATAAAATTAAACAAAAATAAATTTTACGACATACTGATATGCATTACCGTCATAATTGAGATAGTGTTTTACACTCCTGAAACTATAAAAAAATTGTTTTCTTGATAAAATCGATAGTACTTTAATAGCCCTAGTGTTTATTGTTCTTTTAATAATAGTGAATATTATGGTTCATTAAACAATAAATAAATATAAGTTAAGCGAAGGTGAAAAACATATATTTTAGTTTTTCCTTATTGAAATAAGATAACGGCATGCTTTACAATTTAAGGATCACTATCTATCTAATCTATACTTCTATACCATAATATAATAAAGCGTAAACACACACTTCTTTGTTCCCTAAGATGTCAGCAATCACAGCATATTTCTGAATAATTATTTTTTTAATAAAAAGCCCTACACTTAGGTCACGCTTTAGGCTATACATTTTCACACCATTAAACTTAGGAGTAAATATTTTGGATAAAAACCATAATGTAGGAAAGAGACCATAAGTTGTTGCCAACATCAAGGAAGCAAGGTTGCCAAGGTCTGACGTCATGTCATGTCATTTTGACATTTGCAATGATAATTTGACAAATGTGAACATTAAAATGAAATATTTACAATTCTATGCGGATGAAGTCGCATGGAACCAGCTAGTACCACATAATTGTATTTTAATAAAAAATAAGTTCCATTTCTATTTTGTTATAGACTAAGGAATTAAAATAACGTTACCAGTCCCTTGTAACATATTAGTTATACGATAATATGAACGTCTGTATGTGATTTACTCTAAACGTATGGGATTCAACGCCAATAATCGTAAGTAGAAAATCAAATAGATTATCAAAGATTGGTTTCACTAACCTCCCCAAAGAGTCTCGAGGCACGAGCTCGCAAATATCGATGGAAGGACGATCTGTTCAAATACAAGGAATTATACTTATTATGTATTTCGTAAATGAATGTGTACATTCTATTAGTTTTAATTTTGTTAACGAATTTATTTAATCAATGTAACATTAAGATAAGGATTGATAAAATTCATAAAAACCTCTTTCTTAATGAGTCATGAATTATGAAAGTTCAGTGTGTATTTCTTGATTTTACTTCTATCACAATTTTCACGTTTTTTAATAAACAGCGCCTGAAATATTGACCTTACCACAATTAAATATTGTGAACTATTTCACAATTAATTCAACATGATAACAATTCAACACCAACCCTTAGAATATTAATAAAAATGGCGAAGATTTAAAATTGGCATCGTTTACTAAAATATCTTTAGGTCGTAAATTTTTTAAAGGAACGCCCAACTAACAAGCGGATATCGTTTAGTGAACAGCTGCGAATAGATCGGTTTTTTACGATTCCGCATGGACATCTCTAATGGCTTGTTGTGAAATCAATGTTGCTAAATTACATATCGGAACCACTTTAGTCTCTGTCGGAATCCTTTTCAAACGTCCGGCTCGTTCGCATTGTGTTTAGAGTGTATAATTTTAGGCACGTTAGTTATTTCTATCTAATTTTTAATATATTTGTTTTATTTCAAACCCAATTTATATGGTATGCTTAGGGTTGTCACACTATGAATAATAAATAGCAAAAAAAAACTACTCCAAATAATTTTCTTTTTTTTTCGTTAAAAAAAATTAACATTTGTCCTGCTGATAACTATTATATCTCTTTAAAGGGGGAATCAAACCTAAAAAAACTAATTGAAACAATTCTCAATTCGATTAATTCAACAACTACACCGCGATGCCAAGGTCGTTTTCGACAACCGTGGCCCAGATTTACCTGTCGATCCGTCACTTTTTTTGTCGCGCTAAAAAAAATTAACTTAACCCTGAGTTTTCACTGCCTAAAATAATACAAAACGTATTAATAATACTCAAAATATAACAAAAAATACTTATCGCTTATTGAAATGGATTCATCACTTGTCAATTTTGATCTTTAATAGGTTCCTAATATAAAAATAATCACATGATACGAATCACATACTCGTAATTGGCATTATAATACTCTAATTATCCCATTTAAATAAACCGTCGTGAAACCTTCTTATGTCGGGAATTGACTGACGCGATGAGATCGCAACAAATATAGGCAGGTGTGGGATGTTTTCTTAATTAGATTTCTGCGAAAAGCATTAGAACCTTAGAACTTTTTAACCCAACAAAAGTTTTTAAATCGCCTTTTGATGTAAGTGGTTATTTATTTGTAGTTTGCAACTGAGCCGTTGAGGTTAATTCAGAACTTGTTATCGTATTATAGAATTAACATAAATTGACACCTTTGTGTATGTAAGTCCAATATTGTCTACACCACACATATATCGGTTATTACAGAAATGTATACAATCTTTTCAGACGTATATATCATATCGTATGATAAATTTGATGTATTCTACATATCTTAGTCAACTTTAAATCACTCTTCAAAATGATTATTGCACATTGCAATTATAATCAGGGTAAAATAAGATACAAATAGATATTATAAAAAAAAATAAGTATTAGATAACAACATTTAAATAACATTAATTAAACATTAAAAAAATGAATAGTCTAAAAACATTACTGGAATAATAATAAATAACATTTTATAATTATAATAATATACTCTATTGATTAAATTAGTATTAAACCGTATAATCTGTCCTTCAAACCTCTATACACATTCAGCGGGTACAGGGGTATATTTTAATCCTGTGTCGTTTAACGTAGTCACCACCCACGCGTCTTTTGGTACCTTTCCTGACTGCAGAAGATGCACAGCGGCGGCCACGTTAGCACCACTCGTGTAACCGACGTACAAACCTTCTTTCTCACCAATTAAGTTCTTGTACTTTATGACCTCTTCGTCTGTAACGCTAACTGTGCCATCCATATAGTCAAATTTAAAGAGATTTGGTACACACCCGTAACCAGATCCTTGAAGTAAATGCAATGGTTTCGTGATTTCCTTTCCTTTGATAGGCTCCGAGCCGGCTGGTTCCACTACAAAAGATAGTAAATTTGGATTCTTTTCTTTCAAATACTTTGAGGTGCCCGTGAATGTACCGGCGGTTCCTACGGTAGCTACGAAAACATCTACGTGGTGTCCTGTTTGCCGCCAAATTTCAGGTCCCGTCGTCGCGTAATGTGCATCTGCATTAGCTTCATTATTAAACTGGTTTACAAAGTAGGCTCCGAGCTCATCGACTAGCCTCATCCCCTCTGCTTCGGCTTGTTTGACATCAGCTAAAGTGACATTACCGTATGTGCCTTCCACTTGAGGAACCCGGACGCACTTTGCGCCCAAGGCTTCCATATGTATCGCTCGTTGAGCACTGTTACCTTTGGACATGGTGAGTGTAAGAGGATGACCGAGCACAGCGCATACTACCGCAAGTCCGCAGCCTTGGTTACCAGAAGTCACTTCCAGGACGGATCCGCCGGGTTTTAGCTGTCCGCTTTCTAGCGCCTTCCGTATCATGTACAATGATGAGCGGCATTTAATTGACGCGCCCGGATTCATAAACTCGCATTTTGCCAGAATACGACCAGGACCCGGGTACAATCTGTCAAGAGCGACAATCGGAGTTTCGCCGATGAGGTCTAGGGCTGATGCTTTGATTTCGTTAGTGACACCGTTTTCACTGATCACTCCATTAACACCGTTAACAGCTGCCATCATTTGTAAGACTGTATATAATAAATTGTTTAGTAATAGTAAATTACTCGAACGTGTCTCAAATCAAACTGATAGTTGCTAACACATGTGTTTGTTTAAATCAAAACGGGCCACGAAGGTCGACGAGAGTGCACACGGTTCCGTGGAGTCGTAACTACACTCGGGCGCAAAATAAGCTGAAGCAATACTGAGCCAATTTAAAGCGGAGTGTACAATGGATATATTTTATGACTCCGATAAGAATAGTGGCGATTACGGCAATACAAAACAATTTGTTAATTAATATACATACTCATAATATTATCTCGTCGTCATTACGTACGTTCGCGACGTAACCGTTTCACATCTATTCTTGATAACAATTAAAAACAAACTCTTAGCCAGTCCGAACGAACAAGCTGCCAACTGAATTTTACGAAATGTCAAAGCGATCGATGCCTATAGATGCGTTGCCTACCTTTAATCTAAGTGGCCCAGATATACCTATCGATCCGTCAGTTTTTTGTCACGCAATAAAAAGTACTAGTAAGTAGTTTTAAGTACTAAGTACTACTAGTAAGTACTAGTAATTAGTAAATTGGAATATTATTTAACCAAGGGTTTTTCACTGCCTAAAATATGTTGTTTCTGTCCAAATTAACATAAATAATGTTTTCCACTTGTGACGGATTCATTACTTGTCAAGTTTTACATCTAATAGGTTTTAAATAATAAAATAATTACATAATACGAATCACAAAGCCATATTGGACCGTTAATTATCCCTTTTAAATACTGTCGTTATATTTATGGCCGGAATAGGGAATATGGACATGTCTTTTGGCATATATTATTGCTATAAAACATATAAGATTTACACTTTTTTCTAAATATTATTACGATTAAATAATGAAATTTAATTATTATAAGTATCTGTTTTATTTTTTTTACTTTTGGTGGCCATGTGCTAAAACATAAAGCTATTAGTGGAAGGTCCACGTTGTCCTTTTGACGCTGTGTTGCCAATACAAAGTACATATCTACTGTAATTATTTTTTTTTTGATAAATTCACTATTGAAATGTTTCGTTTATTTATTACATAGGTCATCACCAATCAAACACTGATGTTCACACCGAAGTGACATGAGCGGATACGGTTGTCAATGACGTCACAGAAGCCGGCCGCGCTTAAGTGGCACGAAAATGATAAAATTTTTTTTACATTTAAATATACCACATACTTTATTAAATCGATATATAGTTAATTCCTTTTTCTGACGTATAATTCTAATTGCATTGTTTTAATTCTTTTTTAAAAATCTACGCGTATTGTTCAATTTTAAATCACTTTCAAAATAATAACTCTACCTTGAAAAATTGTAAATTAGAGTTAAACAACCTCGATAAATCGATATTAAAAATCAGTTATGAATAACAATTTATACAACATTTAAAAAAAATAAGAATATCAAGAAAAAAATTAGCCCAATCACTACTTTTACAAGAATAATATTACAATGCATTATACAAGGATCACATTATAACCTATTATCTGGATTACGCAGTTTCCTCGGGTACAGGGGAGTATTTTAGTCCCGTGTCGTTCAATGTAGTCACCACCCACGCGTCTTTTGGCACCTTTCCTGACTGCAGGAGGTGTACAGCGGCGGCCACGTTAGCTCCACTCGTGTACCCCACGTACAAACCTTCTTTCTCACCAATTAATTTTTTGTACTTTATGGCCTCTTCGTCTGTGATACTAACTGTGCCATCCATATACTCAAATTCAAATAGATTCGGTACACATCCATATCCAGATCCTTGAAGTAAATGCAATGGCTTCGTGATCTCCTTTCCTTTGATAGGCTCGGACCCATCTGGTTCCACTACAAAAGATAGTAAGTTTGGATTCATTTCTTTCAAATACTTTGAGGTTCCCGTGAATGTACCGGCCGTTCCTACGGTAGCTACGAAAACATCTACGTGGTGTCCTGTTTGCCGCCAAATTTCAGGTCCCGTCGTCTCGTAATGAGCCTCCACGTTTGCTTCATTACAAAGCTGGTTTACATAGTATGCTCCCAGCTCATCAACTAGCCGCGTTCCCTCCGCTATGACTTCCATAACATCAGCGAATGTTACTTTACCATATGTGCCTTCGACTTGAGGAACCCGGACGCATTTAGCGCCCAAGGCTTCCATATGTATCGCTCGTTGAGCACTGTTACCTTCGGACATGGCAAGTGTGAGTGGATGACCGAGCACAGCGCATACTACCGCGAGACCGCAGCCTTGGTTGCCAGAAGTCACTTCCAGGACGGGTCCGCCAGGTTTTAGCTGTCCGTTTTCGAGCGCCTTCCGTATCATGTACAATGATGAGCGGCATTTAATTGACGCGCCTGGATTCATGAACTCACACTTTGCCAGAATACGACCAGGACCCGTGTACAATCTGTCAAGGGCGACAATCGGAGTTTCACCAATGAGGTCTAGGGCTGATGCTTTGATTTCGTTTGTGACACCGTTTTCACTGATCCCTCTGTTAACACCATTCGCACCGTTAATAGCTGCCATCATATATAAAACGTTTTTAATACTTTTAGTAATAGTAAAGTTAGTCGTGTGTCAAATCAAACTGATGCATGTCAACACCTATGTTTCTTTAAATTAATGCAGCCCACGAACGACGATGAGAGTGCACGTAAATCCGTGGAGTCGCCAAAAACTTTAAAGGCGCAAAATAAATAGAAGTAATGCTGAGACAAATTTAAAGCGGAGTGTACTGGGTTTGTTTGAGTATTTTATATATGTCTCCGATAAGATTATCTATAGTTAATCTTCAATATTCATGCTATCTATAGCTATAGCTTGCATATTACTATTACATAAATGATTGATTGAATATTGATAGTATTTCGAATCTTGTATATGGATTTCTGTGTACGTGGGGAAGCAATAAGAAAGGAATTCACAAGTTCATACACTAACGGTCCAAACGGTGGTATGTTATTTCTTCAGCAGAATTATTTGAAAATTGACACGAAAACTTTTAGGTGTATCGGTAACTACATGTTTTAATATTTTTAAACACCAAAAGTTGCGGGAAACAGGTAGTACCTATACATAAAATATCGCGTAGTCATTATGATCGTATGCTACGTGACCAACGTATAGTATGTATGTGTGATAGGAACATCAAGAATTGTTTATTAGATCGTGCGTTTCATTTCTAAACTAAAGACATACATGTCAACAAATTACATTATGTTTGCACCAACTGGCAAAACACACAAAAAGTGCAAATGTCTGGCCACCCCTCGGCAGCGGGCGATTATGTCACAAGTGGCAATTCAGAGATGTTTGACATTCTGCTATTTTGATTCAGACATTCAAGTACATTTACATAGCTAAAATGTGTTTTATTGCAACGAGAACACGGTTTATTTTTATTCATATCCCTGCCAAATTCAATTCTTATAGACTCAAACAAAAATAAACTCTCTGCAATTTTGTTAAAGTGCAATTTTTAAGAATCAGACAAATAGATTTGTTCTAGTAGCCTTGTTAATGTGCACAGAAGACCCACCAGATGTCAATACGAAGCCGGTCTATTGTTAACAAATATGGGTACAATTGTGAACAATGCTTTACATTATTGTATTTAGCGACGGTGAGGAGGCTGAACAGGCCAAATGTCAGCTATTTGATAATTGGGGTGTTCATCGGTGAAAAGCACCAATATGATGTTTAAAATATAATTGTAACATACCAATTTCAACTACTTATTGGTTTTTACATTTTTTACTTACAAACAAATCGAATTAAATGCAACCAAATATACCTGACGAAAGTTTTCGTGACTGCTTCTTAGATATACTTACTAGTTTTAAAAGTTTAATGTTTGACGACCATTAATGTCGAGTTTCCTACATTATAATTATTGAAATGGTATCTACCACCCAGTAGCTTTAACGCCTTATCTATTGTGAAGTTTTATGCTCTTATTCTCCTCGTATATTATTGGTTGTGTTATCATTAGATATCTATACTAATACACCTTACAAACAATTAAGAAACTTAACATACAATCTTACAATTTTTTTGACAAAACTTAATCTTAATAGAAAAGTTTAAATACATGAATAAAAATAACTTAATAAACACTCCAATTCCTTTGTAAATTCTTCTTCGTTAGAACTGAGAAGTGTTAATTAAATAACAATCTATACTTATTGACTTTGGAGTTATGATAATAAAAAACAAACATATTTAGAAAACCATGCAATGGGAAAACTCCACGGATATTGCAAATATTGTAATGTAATAAATAAACATGGCGGTTGAAAACCGTGTGCAAAATCGACGAGCATGGCAAATATTGAATCTATTGTAAATAAGAAGACTCTACTCGGCACTAGCTAATCTACATAAACTTTTCAGTACTAATTGCAACATTTTTAAGCATGATTTACTCATATTTTTGTGGCAAATAGAAACGAAATACGTATGTGTCGGTGTTGAATTACATTAAATTAATCAGATAAAATTCGTTCTTAGTATCGGAAACTAGCAACCAAAACATGTAAAACCAATACAAAAAAAATATAACTAATAGGTAATTACCATAAATCGTTGTTAGCTTAAGTTGTATTCCATGTCGTACATACATTGTGTCAAATAATTCATTGTAAAAAGGATAATTTGTTGAAATGCGAGCCATTACCGCGCGGGCGTAGGTACGGAACAAGTAACAGAGAAGACAATCCGAGCATCATTCCCACGGGCACGCACCTGCGCGGACACATTCTACGGTACAACACCGATATATTGTACAGTGACCATTACGTACTCAAAAACAGGACCTGTGTTCAGAAATTAATTAGCAATGTGTCATAGCAAATTTTAAAACGTTAACACAATCACGCTCCCCTTAACAAACTATAACATACTAGCTTTCGCCCGCGACTCCATCCGCGTGGAATTATAAAAAACAAAAGTGAGTAGCTTATGTGTTCTTCGAGACCATCCTGTAAGGCTATGCCAAATTTCATTGAGATCCGTTCAGCCGTTTAGGCTACAAACTTTAACAAACATCCATCCATCTAAACTTTGCATTTATAATATTAGTATGATATTGTAATTTATTTCTTAAATGTAAGAAGCGCTTTACGTTAAAACAGAAACAATATGCAAATAATTGAAGAAGTGGAAAACAAAAGATAAAATCGCAAGTTTTTTATACTTCGAGTCTGGCTGTCCTAGTAATTGGGACCGCTAATCCTTGACATTTTTAGAACTTAACCGTGGACTCTTAAGTTTGTCTTCGAAGGGGATAAAGTCTTATATTTGTATGGTCATCCTAGTATAAGCCCGCATTCCTCGTCGCCTACACAGCGTCAGATGAGCGCGGCCGGCCCGGCGGGGCATTCAGCATCGGATCTCACGCCGCACAATCACTTGCTTTGGAACGCCGACGTAATTTGGGATACGTTTTCATTAAGCTAAGACTAAGACTTCTCACGATCTTTTTTGCCAAAATGAATATGAATTGTGCTGAAAAGGGATGAACTCCATTCATTATTAAATTAGGATCGATTATCATATTTACGTTTTATAATTATTCTTATATTTATATCTTGCGCATTTCAAAGCTATGTTTATTGAATGCATGAACTTTATTATATTAAAATATCGATTCGTAATTAAAACATACAGCTTTGAATAAAATATCAATTTTAGCAAGAAACATTCTTAGCTAATTAAAAACACAATAAAACTTAATTTATTTAAATGAAATGATTAACAATAAAAATTTTACATTATACATTACTAGCTTTGGCTCGCGACTCCGTCCGCGTGGGATTAAAAAAAATAAAAGTGCCTATGTGTTCTTACATCTCTATCAAATTTCATCGAAATCCGATTAATCGTTTCGGCTACAAACTCTAACAAACATCGATCTATCCATCCATCCATCCATCCATCCATCCATCCATCCATCCATCCATCCATCCATCTAAACTTTCGCATTTATAATATTAGAGTAAAGTATGATAGAAATATTTATTTTCCACCTTTGATTACTCTGTGTTATTAACGTCGAGCGCCTTGCAAATATTGGAAAACAAATTTGCCAGTATCTTTTAAGCAGGGACAGATAGACGAAAATACTTAGAGTAGATAACAGTAAAAAAATACTTTCAAATTGTATAGTACACGATATATTATAGTTTTTTCGATATTCAAATGAGCTGTGATTCGAAGCGAATTTTTCTATAATGACATGGAAGTTATTCTGGTTTTATCTTCTTACAACATTTACAAATGATTGTTTCATAATAATAGATTTTAAAAGTACTTAAAAATAGCAGTATATCACAGGAAGTCCAATTGACGTCAGTTGTCCAGTCAATCTATACAAACGAGCGTATTCCTGTGTCACATTGTTACTCCAAATTACATCAATTTATAACTAAGGGGATCCCTATTATTTCATATCTTGTAACATTCTATACAAATAGACACATTATTCGTTAGATTGCCAATAAAAAGTAAACATTCAACATTTACGATACCTTGATTGATACGATTCTTTGTCTTTGCAACGATCAAATAGTTTTACAATAAGAGATTAGAAAAGAGAAAGAAAGAGTGGTGTGAAATACGTATCGCAACGTATCTCAAAGATTACAAATAGAATGATATCAAAGTGTAAATACTATGATAACAATGTCCTGCCACAATAGTTATTACAATTACTACAAATAAAATAGCCTTAAAAATATCTATCTTACATAATTTAATTCCAATATTTTCTTGCCTAGAGATTTTATGTAATCTCTGTTTAATAGATCAGTTAAAAAACATCCATCGCTACATTTAAACGTTCTTATTTATAGTAGAAATCAAATCTTCTTTGTAAAGAAACAATAGCAATCTGACCTTCCTTAAAGCGAATGGTTTTTATAGTTAAACATTTCCATTCGTATAATGGAACGCACTGTATAAATCCGTAGGCAGGTTAGGATGCACCTGAGTATTTCACGGAGCGACTCGCCGGCGCCGTACGCCCTACAGCTTGACCCCAAGCCGCCCACAGACCTCAACATCTCGTCATTAGACATGACATACTTAAAATATGCAAGAAAACTTTAAAAATTATCACATCTTTACACCGACTTGAACAGCGAGCATAATTACAGCTAATTATACTCGTAAATGGTTGGCTCAATTAACTTATAATTCAAAGTCATGATGATTGTCAAGTTTCTGAGTCAATTGATATTAAACGAGTATATATGTTTTGTTACATGTATATTGTTGCACTCTCATTCCAGCTTGGAATAACTACGTACTCACGAACAGTTAATAAAACTTTATTGTCTAAAACTTTGTATCGTCAAAAAAAAAATAGTGGTTTATTTGCAAATAAGTCAAGGATGGCGACAGTTTTAATACATCAAGGCAAACTTCGAGGAAAGAAATCACAGAATAACAATGGATTTGAGTATTATGAGTTTTTGGGAATACCCTATGCAAAACCACCAGTAGGAGAACTCAGATTTAAGGTAATGAAAATTTTGTATAATTTTATTATGTTAATATGCACATATGCAAATCAACTCATACTATGAAGTTTATGAATTACAATTTCGACTTGATCGAGCGACTATAAAGATTCATAACACTCGTATTATACAATATCTGTGGGACGCATCATACCTATCTGTTTACAATAACTATTCAAATTAAACATGAACATATTTGTTATTTGTTTATATAATAAATATTTCTATAGCTTCATATCATTTATTTTCCAAATAAGCAGTCGATAAATACAAGAAGCAGTGAGGTAAATTAATATTTTACAAAAACCAATGCTACGAGATAACAAAAAATGCATTTCATGCTTACGATTCAATTCTCAATATAATATACTAGAAGCTAAATACATAATTACAAACACAATTTAACTTTACTTTTTTTATTTAAGAGTCCACAATCTCCCGAAAAATGGGTCGGAGAAAGAGACGCTACAGTGGTTAATGAAAACAACATATCACTGCAACTTGATATGAGCAACAATAAGATTGTCGGAAGCGAAGACTGTCTGTATCTTAACGTATATACTCCCAAGATACCTGATGGAGAATCCGAATTACTCCCCGTAATGGTATACATACATGGTGGGGGTTTCGTAGTTGGAAATGGTATTTTAGATAATGTAAATGGACCAGATTTTCTTATAGAACACAATACAGTCATAGTTACAATCAACTACAGATTGTCCGTTTTAGGCTTTTTGTGTTTAGATATACCTGAAGCAGCTGGTAATATGGGATTGAAAGATCAAGTCAAAGCTCTCGAATGGGTGAAAGATAACATAGTAAATTTTGGAGGCAACAAAGATAACGTTACTATATTTGGAATAAGCGCTGGTGCTGCATCTGTTGAATATCATATGGTGTCACCCAAAGCCAAAGGTCTATTCCATAAAGAGATTTTACATTCTGGCTCCAGCCTTAATCATTGGGCAGTTAATTATGAACCAAAGAAGCTAGCAAATCAACTGGCCGCAAATCTAGGTTACAAAGATACTTCAGAAGATGCGAAAGCTTTAAAAGAATTTCTAATGACTATCCCAGGACCAGATCTAACAGCATCTGCGACACAAGTGTACGAAAATGCAGAAACAGGCGGGATTTTCTTCGGTTTTGTACCAACTGTCGAAAAAGATTTTGCGAACGGAGATGCATTTCTTACAGATCATCCGTATCGCTTACTAAAACAAGGTAATTTTATTAAAGTTCCCGTTATCAAAGGATTCTGTAACAGAGAGGGTTATTTAACCTATGTGCTTAAGCCTAAAGCAATATCAGATATCCAAGAGAATAAAAACTTTACTGACTATTGGTCATTTGAATTAGATTTAGATGACAAAATTAAATATAAAGAACAGATGAAGAAGAGTTATTTGAAGAGCATTAAACCTGGAGACGACGAAGACAAAATTGGAATAGATTTCTTCAGTGATTTTGATTTTGTATCTGGAATTTGGACCAGTGGCAAGCTAATGGCTCGACAAGGGGTGCCGGTGCGATTTTATGAATTTTCTTATGAAGGAAAAATTAACTTTTTCAAACTACTCTTTAATATAGAAAGATCTGGAACAGCCCACGGCGATGACCATACATACGTCTTGTGTCATGAGATCGCAAAGGAAGCACACGAAAGTGATTTAGTTATACGAAACGCTATGTGCCGGATGTGGACTAATTTTGCTAAATCTAGGTATTTTTTTTAATTTTAAAAACTCCTTTGTAATAATTATTGCATTGATTATTCATTACTACATACATTGATTGCATACTACCTGGCTATTACATTCATTATTTATTTTTTATGACTATAAATATGTTCCATATTATAAAGATTCAAACCGAGGCAGAGGGAAAAAAAACAGCTATAGATACTAAAGTGGTTTCTAGCATAACTAAATATTTAGTTCTGGATTTTAGAAAGTATATAATAACGTTTTAATTTTCAGTTGTCCTACACTGGCTGACAATGTGGGAGAGCTAGTCGAATGGCCCATGTACAAGGAAGATCAGCCTGCATATCTGTCAATTGATAAAAACATCGAAGTACTAAGAAACTACGACCCGATTAAAATGTCAATATTTGAAGAAATTTACGGAAAATATGAAAAATAACCTATAACAATTATATGTAATGCAGTAATCACATTATAATGGCGGGATAGAAAAAAATATAAATGTTTATTACAGCATCTTTACGTAATGATAAAATGTGTAACAAACTATTGTTATTGGTTTTTCTATGCCTATATGTATGTATATTAATAATGATTACAGTATTTTTATTTTAAGATAATCATGAAATCGCTTAACATTTTAACGGAATGGTTTGAATAAAACTCACAAGGATGCCTCATTGAGAAAATATTAACAAAAAATAAGTTAATGGTGTCATTATTAATGAAAAAAATTGTGCAACCATCTTAAGACAACCTATTCGGAATGTCACGGTTATATGCTAGATTCTTGAATTTACAAAAATAAGTTCCATATCAATGAACAAGAGTTATTTGTTCGGCCTATATCCATGCCTAAACTCAGATTGTACTGAAACATGGACACAGCTCTAAGAACGCCGCAGAAGGTTTACGAAACACAATCTATTCGTACAAAACTAAAAATTCTGGATTTTTACTAAAATTTTTACACATAGTCTAGTATGACATTTTTATTTTTTTAAGTCGAGTTTAGCATTACACGGTAATTACATAGAGATAATAAAATTATCAACAACTTTAGATTGAAATGAAAATAGCAAATTATAATTTTATCGGTGTATAAAAAATTATATACGATAATGTGCACGGTGTCAGTCGGTTAAGGAAGCTCATTGAAGATGGCCACATTGTCCATAGAACAAGGTTTACTAAGAGGCGGCAAATCAACAACAAACAATGGATTTGAGTATTTTGAGTTTTTGGGAATACCATACGCAAAGCCGCCTGTTGGAGACTTAAGATTTAAGGTACGATTTAGAGCGGGCACACACCTTTGATTGAATTATCGCAGAACTGTTGTATCGTTTTTTTTTGTTTTGTGTCTGAATGGCCACTGTTTGCCTTCAAGAGGCATTTACAGATTCACCGGGCTTGAGGTGGCCGAGCGCAGATGACCCTTAGCCTATACCTCGTTTATGAGTAACTAAGCTTGAGAGCTCCCTCAGGAGCCTTGGCTCGGGTCGTTACTCTGCTAGCCCATTGTCTCGCTTTGATTCCTATGAGCTTATATCGAGGTGCGGAAATTACTCGATTTTTAGTTGTGCAACTAAAAAGTTGGATTGGCTGCGAAAAAATTGACTATAGTTGTGCTATAGTTTATTCAAACTTGTACGCCCGCTCTTAGTATTATATGTTTTAACACTATTTGATGACTATGTATTAATCGTTATTTATTATCATATATGATTTACAAAACGATATAAAAACCTTTTATCTTTGTACTATATCCTGTTGACAGATACTGAATATTTAATGTTGAAACTCAATACAATTGGAGTAGAAACATCGAGTTATCGACATTAGTATTTAAAGGTTTTTGACCTAATATGCACTGACAAGTTTTAACCGTATTAATGCTAGCATGGAAATAATATATATTCTTTTGAATTTTGTTCTTAACCTTGCACCTTGGATTTAATGTTTCTATTTAGCTCGAAGCACTTGTCACAAACAATAATTAATCGAATATTTAGGGCATGTCCCCCACTGGCTGATATAGGCACAGATAGCTTAAAAATTATGTCACTGTCAGATAAGGGAACAAAATCCGGTATTTCCATCACATAATTTACACGTTGGATTGTTATCAGATAATTTACAATTTGGTGGGTCAGGCACTTAGCCTTCTACTGCTATTAGTCGTCGGAAAAGGAAAGATTTAAAATGCATGATAAGATCTAATAACAATAATCATGCTTAAAACGAAAGGAATTGTCAAAGTTCTGTGGCTATCTACCAGATACGTTAGGAGATAGTCGCCGATGAATGTGTCAATTGTTTTTGTACGACAAAGATTTCCATATCCAAATGACTTTTACCTCCAACTACATAACAATCCTTTCAGAGTCCTCAACCGGCAGAAAAATGGGACGGTGAAAGAGATGCGACAATCTCAAGCAAAGAAAATACAGCGTTACAAATGGATTTGATCGAGAGTTCTGGAATTGGGGGAAGTGAAGACTGTCTCTACCTCAACGTTTATACTCCAAAAATAACTGAAAACGAGTCAGAATTGCTTCCAGTAATGTTCTTTATACATGGAGGTGGATTTGTGCATGGAAATGGCATCCTAAAGAAAGACAATGGTCCAGATTATCTCATCGAACACAATACGGTTATAGTCGTAATCAATTATAGAGTATCCATTTTAGGATTTCTGTCTTTAGACATCCCAGAAGTAGCTGGAAATATGGGTTTGAAAGATCAGGTCAAAGCTCTTGAGTGGGTGCAAAATAACATAATACATTTTGGTGGTGACAAAAATAATGTCACCATATTTGGCACAAGCGCCGGTGCTGCGTCCGTAGACTATCTTATCGTTTCACCAAAAGCGAAAGGACTTTTTCATAAAGCCATCCTCCATTCAGGCTCTTGCTTAAATCATTGGGCCGTTAACTATGAGCCGAAGAAGTTAGCGTATAAAGTAGCCGAAAAATTGGGATACAAAGGATCTTTAGAAGATGTCAATGCTTTAAAAGAATTTCTGTTAAGTATTCCAGGATCGGATCTAACAGAGACTGCCTATAATATTTGTCAAACATGTACAGATAAACATCTTTTATTTGGATTTGTTCCAACAATTGAAAAAGATTTCGGCAATGGAGAAGCTTTCCTAACAGACCATCCATATCGCTTACTGAAAGAAGGTATTTTCAATCAAGTACCAGTTATTAAAGGATTCTGTAACAAGGAGGGTTACTTAATGAACGCTGTTAATCCCAAGGGAATATTAGATGTGTTACAGAATAAAAACTTTGTTGATCATTGGCCATTTGAACTGGACACAGATGATAAAATCAAATACAGCAGGAAAACGAAGACGTTACTCGCTTATACAAGGAATATACAACCTGGAGATGACCATGATAAAATAGCAATTGACTTCTTTAGTGACTTAGACTTTGTATCAGGTATTTGGATAAGTGGAAAGCTAATGGCTCGAAAAGGAGTGCCTGTTCGCTTTTATGAATTCTCTTATGATGGTAAAATAAACTACCTTAAAATGTTATTTGGTATCAAGAGGAATGGTGCAGGTCACGCTGATGACCATTCTTACATTATATGTGAAGATTCAACAAAAAAAGCTCATGGCCTTGACCTCATTATACGAAATACAATGAGTCAAATGTGGACCAATTTTGCCAAAACGAGGTACGTAACTTTTCTTAGTAAATAACTATAACTTATGACTGAAACTTCGGGATCAAAAATAATTCTTTTATAATAACCATATTGCATAGTAATGCTAGATTAAAAAAAAAATCTAATGAGCATAACAAAATTAAAAAGCCATTTATTCAAAACGTCCGTTTAAAAATATATAATATTTACTATTACGTTTATGTAATTTACTGTTTTTAATTTTTCAGTTGCCCAACTCCGCAAGACAGTTTAAATAATTTAGTGGAATGGCCTGTGTATACGGAAAACAATCCCGTATATTTAAGGATTGACAAAAAAATTGAGGTACACAGAAACTATGAACCACAAAGAATGGCTATTTTTGAAGATATTTATGAGAAGTATGAAAAATAATCAGCGCGATAGCTGAATTTCCAGATATTAAGCAAGATTTTTTATTATAAAAACCATACCCAAAGCAGTGTTACATTAGAATGGAAAATGTGAACACAATCTTTTTATTTGTAAATAACTGAAAGCTAGTGCTAAAAATTTCATCAGTGTACAATTTAAAAAATCTAGTAAAAAATATAGTCTATGCATTATGTAGTATTCTAATGATGAAAGAATTTTTGAAATCCGCCAAATAGTTTTTGAATTTATCACTTACATGAGTAAATCTTTCATCTTTATATTAGTAGGTTTCAGAAATAAATTATACCAAAATAAACATTTCATAAACATATCTTTATTATATTTAAATTTTTCATAAAAAAATGATGTACACAGTAACTATGAACATAACATGTGTATAATTTCTATCCATATATTAATTTCATCCACATAGAATTTTGAGTACAAAATTATAAATTAGGTACTTATTAATAGTACTTCTTGTATAATTCTTCATATAATTTAGTTCTTTTCGGGTAAGGATTCTCTTTCATAGTCAGTTTATCATCAATGAATAAGTAATTCATTTTATCAGTAACAGGTTCCCACTTCATAGTGATAATGTCATCCACTTTTGGTGTTGGATCGCTAAAATAAAGGTAAATAAATTAAATTGTATGTACATAAATTGCTCAGTAGTTAGTTTAGGATGTCGTAATAGGCTGTAGTAATAGGATGTAGTAATAATCAGTAATAATAATAAAGTAGTAAAAATATGTGCTAGATGTGGAGTTGGGGAAACTGTAGCCCCTAAAACTACTACTACTTAGGATGTAGTATTAGGGGAAACTGTAGCCCCTAATACTACTACTACTTAGGATGTAGTAACCCTGCAGGACTTAAAATATACATGTTCGATATAAAATTATATATCAATGGCCTTGATCTGACATCTCAAATGACCTTTTGAGAAAAACCTATTTGAAATGAGCACTTGAGGATTCAGAAGCTAATGTAACACATCCTCCACCTACCCTATAAGATAGAAGTACTTCCCTTGACACATTTTGGTGCAAAAATTCATTTAAGTACTCAGTGTCAAGTAATGTCATAGCATAAAGAAATGGGAATGTGAAACTTACCCGAATTTAGCGAAATTCGTCCACATAGTGCACATTCTATTGCGTACCAATTTATCAGTTTCAGTAATTTCATCTTCCTTAAAAATATCACATTTAATCAAATAACCACCATCATCGCCATGACAAGCTCCTTCTCTATCAATGTTTCTAGTCTTCTTAAAGTAATTCAAATTACCATCGTAGGAAAACTCATAGAAATACACAGGGGAATTATTCTTAGCAATCAATGAAGTCGCAACATACACACCCCCAAGAAAATCTACATCAGTTAAAAAATCTATAGCATAATAATCAACATCTTTGTGTGTTTTTTCATCTTCTAAATATACTTGCTTTAGCTTCTTATCAACCTCATCCTGCTCCATACTATCAAAGTTGAAAGGCAGTTCCGATACAAATGATTTAGTATTTGATATATTTTCTATTTTCTGAGGATTAAATGGAATCATTACAAGTCCTTCACGTGTACAGAATCCACTCATAAAGGGGACTTTAGCAAACTCACTATTGGATAACATATCATAAGTGGATTTATTTACAAACTGTTCCCAGTCTTCGGATTTTTCTATAGTGGGTACAAAGCCAAAGGTAATTCCTCCACGGTGACTACCCATTGCAAGAGCGATCATAGAAGATTGTATTAATTCTTTTATGGGCATTTCCTTTAAACATTTCAACAAATCATCATTGTTTTGTGGAAACATCTTCTTAATCATTGGTATTTTGTAGGCCAATTTTTCAATTGCATTATTTTGTGCCCAGGGCAGAAGAGTTGAACCAGATTGGGCAATAGCTTTGTGGAATAAACCCTTGGTTGTAGGAGACAAAAGCAGATATTCAACAGATGCTCCACCAGCACTTACTCCAAATATAGTCACATTTTTTGGATCACCACCAAACTGAGCTATATTATTTTGTACCCATTTAAGTGCTAATACCTGATCTTTTAAGCCCATATTACCACTAGCACATTTTTGGCCCAAGGATAAGAATCCCAGTATGCCTAATCTATAATTCAAACTGACTACAACAACTTCTTTTTCAATCAAATAGTCTGGACCATGTAATGAATCATCAGTACCATTACCAAATAGAAATCCACCTCCGTGTATGAACACCATCACTGGGAGCTTGGGACCTTCCTCAGGAAGATGCGGTGTGTACACATTCAAGTAAAGACAATCTTCATCACCAATAACTGTTCCAGTGGCCCTATCATATTGTGCACAAATGTTACAGTCCTTTGTTGCATCTTTCACACCTTCCCAAGGCTCTGGTGGTTCGGGAATCTAAAAGAAAACAATGTTTAATGTAATAATAAATGTAAAGAAAACAATGAAAATCTATAAAAAAATAATGTCATGAATTTAATGAATATAAAATACAACTTTATACTCACACAAAACCTTAACTCGCCTACAGGTGGTTTAGCGTAAGGTATTCCCTTATATGTATAAAACTTTACTCCATTTAAACTTTGACAAACTTTTCCCCTCAATTTACCGTCGGTCACCGTAACTTCTGGTGCAGACATTTTAAATACCTAAATGTCAATGTATTTTTAATTTCCTTTTACTTTTGTAATATATTTTAAGGATGACAAAAATATTTTTTTCTGGAACTCAGATTGTTTTTCCGTTTTCGTGATCGAATAAATTAGACGAATATTATAATTGTAAATTTTATGCTTCTATGATATGACGAAAATCTTAATTTAATTGTTTGTTCCCAAATTATCCTTGTATGTGTGAAATAGAAGATATGTAAAGCCTAGAAATCACTGGAAATGGAATGTCTATTTGTCCTTGTCAAGCAAGTGTCAAGTGTCAACTTGTCATTTTTTATATTTACGTTCCTTTCCACGGTACACTATCGCCTTTAAAAAATCGACTTTCCAAGGAGTGTTAAAGTAATCTAAACACAGTTATGTACATAATATTTAAGATAAATGTTTGAAAAGGCATTGCTATCTATTGATGAGAAAAAGTAAAATACAAAACAATTATTTAAGAATTGTGGATATTTTGCCGGCTACAATTTTTTTTGCTGGATGACAATCCTACTTTGTCGCAATTTTCAAATGCAAAAAAAGGGAAATAATAAAGGACTAATGAAGGTGTTATGAAAGTGAACATTCTATTACATACACTATTCACAAACACGTCTTCGTATTTTTGAGTCCTGGTTAAACTGAATCCTATTTAATTTTATTACTCAGACAAATCTGAGATCAAATTGCATTTATTTCCTTGTTCTCAAGCCAAAACATAATAGCTTGTGATGTTTTCGCATTAAAGTCTATAGATTAAGTGCATAAATGATTTTTATCGATGCAGCGCTAAAATTAATCAGCAAGGTTGTTCTTTTACAATAATCAGCGAACTGTGACTTTAGAGGACGTAAATTCTCACACGTGACGAGACATTAACTTTGTTAAAATACTCGTAATTTTCACACTATTGTCGACCTGTAACAAAAAACACACCCATTTCATATTTATATTTACAAGAAGAATGAATATCAAGTTACAATATACGTGACTCTGTTAGGTGGTACTAAAGAACAACTATAGGTTAAAATTTGCCATTATCATTAAAAATTTGAATATGCCTACGGTTTCCACGGAGCAAGGGATGCTGCGAGGCATAAAATCAAAAACTGACAATGGATTTGTGTTCTATGAGTTTTTGGGTATTCCATATGCCAAGCCGCCGCTGGGTCAACTGAGATTTAAGGTATGATATTGATTTAAAAAGTTTTTTTTTTAGTTTTAGTCGATTATATAAGAGATTTTAGTGAAAGATACGATCATTCAATGATGCTCGTTGTAAAGGTGGCATAAGAAAAGGATTTTTTTTTAAATGTTGAACTCCAAATTAAATCTTTAACACGTAATTTAATTTTTCTTTCTTTACTCTAATCCTGTTCAACAAATTTAATGACGACTCTATTTAATCTCATTTGTAAACCAATTTACTTTTCAAATTAAATACATAGTTCCGTTTTAGAGTCCTCAATCTCCAGAAAATTGGAATGGCGTGAGAGATGCAATAGTGGTTGACAAGAACAAAGTGTCAATTCAATTAGACTTAATTACTGGTCGAGTTGTGGGAAGCGAAGACTGTCTCTACTTGAACGTCTATACTCCTAAAATACCAGTGGACAAATCTGGAACATTACCAGTAATGGTCTATATACACGGTGGTGGTTTTATCCGAGGCAATGGAATTTTAAAAACACAATATGGACCTGAATTTCTCATCGAACATAATGTAGTTATTGTCACAATCAACTATAGGCTTTCTGTCCTAGGATTTTTATCCTTGGATATTCCTGAAGCAGCCGGTAATATGGGTTTAAAAGATCAAGTTAAGGCTCTTGAGTGGGTCCAAAATAACATAATAAATTTTGGTGGTAACAAAAATAACATTACTTTATTTGGGATGAGTGCAGGCTCAGCTTGTGTTGATTATCATATTTTATCACCAAAATCTAAGGGTCTATTCCATAAAGCTATTCTTCAATCGGGCTCCTGTCTTAATTACTGGACGCTTAATAACGATTCAATGAAATTAGTAAATCTGCTCGCCGAAAATTTGGGATATAAAGGATCACTGGAAAATAAAATCGATCTCAATAACTTCCTTTTAAATATTCCTGGAACAGCGCTGACCACGTCGGCTACTCTGATAGCCGAAAATTGGACGGCTGATGGGCTTTTCTTTGGATTTGTTCCTATTATCGAAAAAGATTTTGGCAATGGTGATGCTTTTTTAACTGAAAAACCATATCGATTATTAAAACAAGGTAATTTCAACCGAGTACCTGTTATCAAAGGTTTTTGCCAAAAAGAGGGTTATTTAATGCGTATTGTGAGTCAAGAAACAATAACACGGCTTCTGGAAAAGAAAATGTTTACTGATCGTTGGTCAATCGATATTGATGTTGAGGAAAGAATTAAATACAACGCTCAGCTGACTCAAGCTTATTTAGAAGACATTACACCAGAAGATGATTATGATACACTTGCAATTGATTTCATATCTGATTCCGAATTCATCTCTGGCATTTGGATTAGTGGAAAACTGATAGCTGGTCATGGTGTACCTGTACGTTTCTATGAGTTTTGTTATGATGGAAAGATCAACTATTTCAAACGACTTTGTAATATAAAGAGTAAAGGTGCGACACATACTGACGATGAAAGTTACTTGTTTTGTCATCAATTCTTGGAAGCAGCTACCGGACAGGATTTAATTATGCAAAACGTCATGACCAAGATGTGGACTAATTTTGCTAAATCGTCGTAAGTACTTCAATAGAAGTTCTCACACCACAAAATTAAAAGGCAGGCGGAGTTTTCCCGCGATGTTTTTTTAGGTTTTTTTTTTAAACTTTACACATGTTAACATGACTTCTAATATTATTTTTATTTTCAGTTCCCCTACTCCAGAAGATAGATTGAATACTTTGACTGAATGGCCCGTGTTCACAATAAGTAATCCTGTTTCGTTGAAAATCGATAAGAAAATTAAATTACTGAATAATTATGAACCAAAAAGAATGAAGATTTTTGAAGAAATTTTTGAAAAATATGAAAAATAATTCGATGTAACTTTTTAACTTATTTTATTTCATAATTCTTATTTTTATTTAGGTTCGCGTATTAATTATAATTTACAATTTACACGCACAATGTTCATATATTGTGTGTGTTTGTACTCGACTACTGTTTTGACTGGCGCTGAATTAAAACGACAAAATTCATTAAAATTAAGTCATTTACAGTTCAGAAAGACAACTTTCAAAAAAATAAGAAGTCAGCAGAAAATAATTAAAAACTAAACCATAACTTGTTTAAATTAGCGAAAGAAATATAACGTAAACTAAGTTTTTATAGCAATAGGTTGCAAAGAGCAAGGTATTGAATAACTTTTCATCCGAATACCATGGACATCACCAAAGGAACAGCAGCAACATGTAAAAAAAATCATAATTTTACAGGGTAAAATATTCACAATTTTTCGTTGTTTTTATCGACACAATGAGAGCGTACCGAGTTCCATCAAACCGATTCAAACTCAGCAATGAGATAGCCGGATGCACACCTGTGCGCGCCGCGAGCTGCGACCCGCCATGCCGTGAGAACCGACATCTCTGACAGCCTCCGCGTCATCGACAGATCGCGAAAACAATCAGTTTGTAATCTTACTAATATTTACAACACAATTATAAAATGAGAAAAGCAATCGCCAATTTTAAATTACACTTCTCATTACCAATAATAGATTTAATTCCAAAATACACATGGCTAGTAAAACTTGACACAGGCGAAATGTATAATTTAGAAGTGAATTAGCAGCTTAAGGCAATCAGAAATGAATAGTTCATCTAATTGTCGACTTAAACACCACTTCATAAGATGTAATATAATTTATTTGTCATCAAAACTGAATTTGCACTGTATTAAAGCTTTACAAAGTGAGGTCTGTTGTTATTTTGTACGCTTCGAACATCCGCGTAGGACAATTACCGCAACTTTTTGTTATTCGATATGTAACCACGTTAATTAAATATTCAAGATATTTTGTACACAAAACTCGATAATAAAATAAAGAAAATGTTTAGATTCCAAATAGCTTGTAAGGATAAAATATATAAAAAGTACTATACAGTATATAGTATTGTTTGAATTTAAAATGTTTTCCAAATAATAAAAGGAAATTCTTTTTTAATGTACCTTTTTATTATCATTAATAAAATATTAAACAATACTCATTCACATGTTTTTGTTAAATTTTTCGTATAATCATGAAAAGGTTTTAAATGTTTTATAATTACCGCTTGCCGTAAATAAAATCAAAAATTCACTGTTAGTAGAGTAGATAAGGTTTTTTATTTCATCTTCTTTAGGATTTTATTTCTTGTAATATTAAAATCACTAGAAGCTAAATCCGGTAAATACTTAATCTTTGGTCACCCTATGAACACACGTGAGTCGTTTGCAAAATTCGTTTCGCATTTGTCCGTGTGAACCTGTGGGCTGAGATCCCTTTAACATTTTTCCACTTTAAAGTTGAATTCTTTTTATGAGAATTGCAAAATGCTTTGAAGGTAACAAAAATGGAGGACCCTTTTAGTAGAAAAAAAAATATTGTTTGACGTAATAGTAAAACCTATTAGCCAATTTTTTTTAGATATCTTGATTGATTGTATGAATTATGCCTATATATTAGTTTTTATTTTTTTATAACATAAGGTGGCAAACGAGCAAGCGGCCACCTGAATCCGCCAAAATGGCGAAGCGACCGCTGCCCATAGACATCCGCGATCGCAGATGCGTTGCCTACCTTTATTCGACGGAGGAGGAGACGCACATAAAGAGGATTGCCCCTTCCTATGCATCTCCTCCACCGTCAAATCCACTTCCCTTCCCATCCTCTGCTTATAAGAAAAGGATGGTAGAGAGAAAGGAACTTAAATTAGGCCTCCGGCACCACACTCATCAGACGAAACACGGAATTGCTTCCAGTTCACGCCTGTCTTCTGTGTGGTCGTGGTATAACACCGGGCGTGCCGGCCCATTCGTGCTAAGATGTTAAAGCGGGCACTACCACTGTAAAGTGCCTATATTAGTGCTTAAAATATGTTAAAAGATAGTACTTTAGTTCAGAAACTCGTGCTTAATCTATCCTAAAGGACGCACTAAACGTGATTGACTATGAATTTAGCAGTAAGGGTAAATTCTTGCTACGATTATTACCACTTTAATGTCTTACTATTATAGCCGTAGTAAAGCTCGGACTCATGAATATAGAAAACATAGAATGTATTTAAATCGATAAACATGGTCTGTCAGTAGATTGATGAAAGAAATAATGGCGTAACATCCCTCGAGTGATGTGGCTGGGACGTTTGGACCGACGCCCATATGTTGATAGCCAATTATATCGCTGAATGCATATATTTTAACTTTGCATATGCCAATCTAAAGAGCTGTACTCGTTATATCAATAAGTATTAACGAAATAACAATAAACGATTATAAAGAAACCGTATATTCCACTTAAACGAACCATACAACTAATTAGGTAGAATAAATAATTACATTCTTAATATATTATTGAGGTTTTGGGGATTCATTGCCAAATATATATGTGCAATATCTCAGTTTTCTGGCATATTTCTATTCTCTCTACGCTTATACATTTTATATTGAAATATAAAGCGCTGCATGAAACCATGATGTACCCTCTAGTAACAAAATGAACGTGATTTGGCGCTAGTGGGCGGCGTGCGTGTTCGCAATTCGCATTGTTCGCGCTGCGCAGACGCAGGTGTGCCCGAGACTGGCTGGCGCCAATCGCATTCCTCCGGCGGTCACAGCGTCGAGTATTCCGCGTGCTTGCTGCAGACAAACCTAAAAGGAATACCATACAACTGCCAAAACATTCCTAAATAGATACTGCGTTTTTATTCAAACTGTAAAAGTATTTGCTTTTCTAATTTTTCTGTGTGATCAGTAGGTATTATTAAATACCAAAAGCAGTAGGAATTATTGTTGTACTAATTGAATCTCCAGTTCCAAGTGGCATAGTTTTCAAGCACAGCTGGACTACTGCCCATGACTAGGCAGAAGGGCCCTCATAGATCTGCTTATTGCACAATAAAGTCTTATAGTGATAATTTCTGACAACAAGTCTATAATACATTACAAAATTGAGTGTTGATAATATTGTAATTGTTCTGGTAGATTACATTTTTAATTACCATTTTGTACGGAAATCTGTAAAAGTAACGCCATCTATTATCATGTATTTAAAAATCTCCAATTTTAAAATCAAAACTACTCAACGCTAGATGTCGCAACATCGGTACCTTAATTTTATTTAAAAATAATTTTGATGTAGAAAATGTAGTTTTTATATGCCTTCCTAGAATTATTGTTTAATTAAGTTACATCAATATCTTTTGAAAAAAATCGAAACTGGTACATTATATTTCTACACTTCTCAGGTACAAAATGGCAACACAGATAACGCATGGATTTTGTTCGCCAATTTCATCTCCCGGCATCGTCGAAATTTGAATTACGAATATTCTAGACTGTACGAAAGGAGTTTCTTGAACGTCGGACTTATTTTCAATCTGTCGTTACGCAGTTGTTTATCTAAAAAGAGAAAATAATGGCAAACGCGTTAAAAAACCTAATTCCCCTGCTCGACAGAGTTTTAATTAAACGAGCTGAAGCTATAACCAAAACTGCTGGAGGAATCGTTATTCCAGAAAAGGCTCAATCCAAGGTGCTACATGGTGAAGTAATTGCAGTTGGCCCTGGAGCAAGAAAGGAAAATGGCGAGTTCATTCCCGTACTAGTGAAGGTTGGAGATAAAGTTCTTCTTCCAGAATACGGCGGCACCAAAGTCTCCCTTGATAATGATGATAAGGAGTATCACCTCTTCAGGGAATCGGATATTTTAGCAAAGATTCAGAATTAATTTTAGTGCTAGTTTTAGTTTTGCGGGATTCGAATTGGTTCAGACTTTAGAAGTAGTTATGTATGTCAATGTGATTGTGTAATTGCCGCTGCTGTGGGGTATAAAGTTATGTTATTTCCATTTATTATAATATTGTTATAAATGTTGTTTATCATTTACAGTCCCCAATAAATTACCCTTATCCGGTTCATTATCAAGTGAACATAACCTCAAAGTTGTACTTTGTTACGTAAAATATATTTTTCTGAAATTGTAATTTGTATTTGTTGGATTTTGTGGCAGTTTTATTAATGACTGGCAAAATAAAAAAGTGTAAGCTATTTTTATCAGCTAATTTACATGTTTTATTACATAGATGTCTTGAATTCACTTTGTAAGATGTCAGGCGACGCATTAGAGTAATAAATTATACCAATAGTTTGGTAATCTTGTTGCTTTGCTTTCATCTTCTGAATGAGAATTGTGTTATTCATAGATCAATTTCTAAAAGACAGGTGGAGGAAGCCAGTCTATATTCATAGATTACAAGTATACAGAACATAGAAGTAATCATCTTTAGGTGTAAAACTTAAAACATTGTTTTGCCTATGTTATAAGGTAAAAACATTTAAATTGACTTTGAAATTAAAACTGCAGAACACAAGCATAAGTTTTTATAATTGTTGCATCATCTTAACACATCTATGGTTTAATGGCCATTCATGTTGGTGAAATATTTTTCATTAAAGGTTCTGTTTGTTACTGTGCATATAAAAAATGTTAGTTTAAAAACAATAATTTTCATCTGAAATGTTTTAAATTACATGGCAAGCAAATTTTTTAACAATTTATATTACTGGTAGATAAAGCAAGCAACATATATAACTTAGAATGCATATACATATACACTTATTTTAATTTATTCAACAGATCTGTAAAATACTTCTTATTCTTAACATAAGTTTATCAATAATGCAATATTTTTCATTAAAATAAAATACATTTCAAAATACAATTATTTTCTTTATGGCAAACTATAGGTACATATTGAAAAACGAATACTGTGTTAAAATACTTCATAATACAAACTTTATTCATTTGAAAGAATTAACTCAAATATTGAGAGTAATGTGTCTTTTTAGCCATATTTAAAGAATGTGAAACTTGTGTGCCTTCATAACAAATATGTAGGTACCTCTAAACTTTTTTTTAATAGCTCGTAAATAATCTCAGTGTCTAAATAACTAAGTTATGGATAAAGATAAAAAATACTTTAGTCAGGCTATAAATCCAATAAAAGTATTTAAAGTAAATTACGGAATAATTAAGTAAAAATATGTTGAGAACAAATTACTGTAAAGATATTGCAGTACGTCTGACAGCAGCTGATAATGCAGGGTTTGGATCAGGTGGTTCTGTCAAAAGTTGCACAGTGGTCCAACAACCATCCTCGCTAGACTTTCTCAATGCTTCCATAGTGGCTTGCACTCTTTGACCATCTTCAAATGTAGCTGCTGCCCTCACCGGTTCTTTAATCCAATCCATTTGCTCCTTTACAGGGAGAAATGCTTCTTTGAGAGCACTTATCATTTTACACAAACCTTTTACATACGGTTTAGGAATAATACTTGATGTACAACTCAAGTCTTCAACATCAACATATATTACTTCTTCTTTATCTTGTACCCTCTTATTTTCTTCTTCAGGAATGGTCTTATGGATTCTATGCAGTTTCCCATGTAAATCTCCACCCCTTACAACCAAATATCCCTTTTTACTACAAACATATATTTCTTGGTTGAAGCAAGGACCGGGTAAGTGGTTATTCAATGTTGCTGTCACTAATAAACCTTTATCCATCTGCAATTGGAATGTGCAAAAGTCTGGTGCGGTGATTTTTCGTATTCCATTTACTTTAGCAGTCTCTTCTACAAATGTTCTTAGAACACCATGTACTTTGACAACTTTCTGACCTGTCAAATAAGTAACCAGATCTATGACATGACTTCCAACAAGTGTCAAAGTTCCTCCACCCATTGTATCATCACACAACCAGTTATAAGTGTCACTGAGTAAAGAGCCCATTTGAACACGAACATCAATTAGGGTTAACTCTTCTGGATTACCTAAATAACCATCTACAATAGACTTTCTCATATAGCTGAAAGCCGGTAAGAATCGTAAAGAATGGTTTATAATTGAAATAAGTGTTGGGTAGTATTGTGCGGCTCGTACCATTTTAAGAGCTTCAGCTTGGCACAGCCCTGCAGGCTTGTCACACACAACATGTTTTCCGATACCAAGAGCCTTTACTGAGATCTGAGCATGAAGATTTGGCGCACAAACTATAAAAACTAAGTTGACGTTTTTCTTTAACAAAACGTCATCAATTTTGTTAGTAAAAAACGGTATCTTTAGCTCCTTTGCAGTTGCTTCGGCTTCTTGCAGTGTTGTGCCCCATATCGCTTCCACAGAAAATCCTTTTTCTCTTAGAAAAGGGACTAGTACTTTAGCTACTGATCCAGTACCAAATACACCTATTCCGGGAAGCATATTGTCTACTTACAACATAATATTGGATTGATACTTTATGATCGCCTAGAAACTAGTCGGAATCTTCATAAGAAGGCTGGTTTGTTAGATAACGTTACAAAACATGTTAGTGACTTGAATATAATTCATAACATTGATATAATCAATATTTTCACGATTGTTTCATGTACACAAATATAATCTGTAACAGTGACAATGACACGTGAGTTTGACAGATCAGAGTTTCGAAATACACATTCGTTTAAAAACCTACAAATGCAGAAATGATTCAATTATTTTGTTTCTGAAGTTTAAAAATATCAGAGCTTCACTTCATTTAGTTGTAAATAAAAATGATCTTTAAATAGTACAGTCATTATGATTAATGTACTTTACTAACTGACAATACTCGTTCTTCTTCTAGTTCTACAGGCCTTCGCGAGCCTTGGTTTGGTACGGTTCTTTCCAGATCAGTCTACATATACTATCTGGCCTCGCTCTTGTAATTTCCTATGCGAACGTTTTTCGAATGTGAATGTCTTTGCCAATGTACTCTCCTCCTTTCGCATCCTTTTTTATTTGTGTTTCCTGGAATATCATGTCAATTCACAACCCAATATTATTTTCGTGCAATTCTTTTTATTTTTCTATCAAGTTTTGAGATATGATTATGAATTTTTAAAATAGGTAGTCCTAGATCGTAAAATTAGTCAATGGCTTGTTGTTATTTCATCAATCAAAATCGTAGTTTTGGAATTTGTAACATTAAGTACAGTACTAGATTAAATTGTATATGAATAGCTCAAAATAAATATCATTATGACTACTTACGTAAAGATTAGTTATTTTCAATATGGAATTCGTGTAAGTGGGAAAAAGAATAATATTTGTTGAGAAAACAACCGGCACCATGCCGTAAGTCACAGTAGATGGCGCTTAAAACGAAGCTCTTCGTCAGCGGCTAAACTGAACGCGGTGATATTCGCCACCTGGATGAGATAGGGCTGTCACAATAATTAATACACTAAAATAATCAGCTAGTTGAACATTATAAATAAGAATTATATAGCAAACACAATGCTTTTCAAGAGCCTTTGTCTCAATTTTTATACTTGGTTAAAGTACCATTGCAGAATTATTTTTATAGTATCTGATACAATGATATACTGTCAGGTTATACATAAAAATAAAACATAAAAAAGCCTTCAGGTTTACTTTCGGTCATTTTCAATGTTTGTCACTAACATTGGAAGATCTGGTTGCAATCGCAACACATTAATTAGTCATATTAAAAACAGGAAAGTCTTGTATTTTTGTATGTATTGAAGTCAAAAACTACAGGACCGATTTCAACATAGGCTATTAAAATTCTAAGAAAGTTGTGGCAACCCTAAACGTATCCTATTTGCAGCAATCTCTCCGATACCTCATGGTTGGGATCCGCCGCAGTTGATCACTTCCACAATTAGGCGCAAGCGAGTTCAAACAAAAGTTTAGCTGACATGAAATATATTAATATTTGCTTAATTTTTCTAAAATAATAATGTATATTTGTGGCAATTTGTTAAAACTAAGCTTACATATCATGTAATGATAACGTAGCAATAACATGAAATACAAAATTAATGTAAATGCAACAAATAGCTGTTACTCGTGACTTCGTCTGCGGGAAATTAAAATAATATTAATAATAAAATATAGCTTACGTTTCTCATTGATATCGTAGCTTTTTAATGGAGAAAACATTTTTGTTATCGGTCCAGTAGTTTTTGAGTTATTTCAATATATCCAAAACTACAAATATTTCCTCTTTACAACATTACTTTACATAAAATAACAATCCTACTTAGATGTGAAGTTTTGTCATGTTTTGGCTATTTCGTAGCTGAGAAGTTTCCTTACCTAAGTATAAAGACATCTTATTGGTCTGAAAGAACACATAGGCTACTAAGTTATTTATTCCTCAGGGACGAAGTCGCGGGCGAAAGTATAATATAATATAATAACCGAGTGGGTGTAAGTTTGTGAGTGCATAGCACGTGTAGTGCCACAGATAAATAAAATATTAAATGACAACGGAAGCGCGACCCGAGCTGTCAGTCTTTTTGTTTCATCCTGACATCCCTAATTGCTTCTCATCTATTGAAGGAAAAAAAACATCTCAGACACGTTTTTTAATTGCAATTTGTGCAACGAAGTAAATTCTTCAAATGAAATAAAATTGACTAGAACACAGTTTTTTTTAATTTAATTAATGGATAAGCATGAGTTTAATTCAATTTTTGTTGAGTGTTACAACATTTAAAAAATAATCTTACACAATCATAATTAAAAAAAATCAAATATTTACCTATCTGTATTGCCTGTTCAAATATTCGTCTAAAAGATTTGTTAAACAAACAAAATGGATAAAGCCTTATAAATCTGAGCACGAATCTCATTTGCGGAGGGATAATTCTGTAATCCGGGTGGGGCGTTTCGTAGCGCCGCCCAACTTACGCCGCCCGCCTTGCGCGCGCGCAGCCCAAATGATAGACGTCGTACAGACAGACAAGAGGGCAAACAACCCTCCGGTAATAGCCGGTTTGATATGGACAGTGAAGTGGAAAGTTAAAGTGCAGTGCAATGCCTAGAAAACGCGTCAATAGATCACCACCCGTTGACAAAAGGTCTGATGAACAAGATGATGATGATTTCTTGTTCGACGATACGCAATCTAGCTCTGGTAATAAATTAATCTTAATTTACTTACTAAAGTACTAAATTTAAGAGTTAAATTTAAATAAAAAAATAACTATAATTCGTTTTAGTATAATATATATATATATATATATATATATATATATATTTTTTTAATTAATTTCAAATGAAAACAATTTTCTGACATGGGTAAACTATCCGGAGATAGTATGAAAACAAAACGATTTAAAAATGTTGAATTGGAAAATCACATATTTTACTAATATTATAAATGAAAAATTAGTTACATCGGTCGATGGATGTTTGTTATAAAACGAGTGAACCGATTTCCAATAAATTTAACATAGAATTAGAGCTTAGGCTGGAAGAACACCCAGGTTCCCCATTTTTTATTAAATTCCACACAGACGGAGTCACGGGCGACAGCTAACATCTAGTATCTATTTAATCAAGTCGTTCTTGCTTAAATTAAAGTATTGTCGAAATTAAATTAATAATTAGTTAATTGATAAGCAACAAGCCGACTGACTGCACCCTGACATTACAGAGTTTACTGTTTAAAATTAGTCTACATAGCACAATGAAACGACCGTTCCTTTAAGACATACGGCCTTACAAATATTAGTAAAATTTTTGCCTAAACTTAGTTTAATCCTAAGACTAACTTTATACCGCGTTTATTTGTAAGGCTGTTAATCTATTAAATGCTGTCTATTTACTTAATCTTACTAATAATACAAATGCGAAAGTTGGGATGGATGGATGTTTTTTTTTAACCTAATTAGATCAAAAAGGTGTGGAGTGTATCACTGATCCTTTTTTTGGGCGACATTCGGCTATTTGATACGGAATGTCGTCCATTTGTGATGGATGTTTGTTAGAGTTTGTAGCCTAAACTGCCAAACGGATTTGAATGAAATTTGGCATAGATGTGTTATTACCAGTACCATTGTTTTCTTTTTAATTCGACGCGGGCAAAAACCAGTGTTTAAATATTAATATAAAAAATATACAGGACGGAGTTCACACGAGCCTCAACATAGGAACGCGGCTAACGCCCGGGAACGGGCCAGAATGAGAGTCCTCTCTAAAGCATTTTGCAGGTATTGCTATATTTATATATGCTATATTCTATTCATCATTTTTATTATTAACTTAATATACTTTTAAACCATCTGAGAATGAAATAAGGAACTTAGTTCCGCAAATTATTTTAGGAATGTTGGTTTTATCACTCACGCTCGAAGCCTCGAGTTAACAATTTAGAAAATGTCACTCACTTTAGTGAGATTTTCTCTTTATTCGACCTTTTTAAATTACTAGGATTATTAATTAATAATCATCATCACCAGCTCACTATACGTCCCCACCGAGGGGCTCGGAGCCCACCCTAAAGTAAGGGTGACTAGGCCATAGTCAACCACGCTGGCCCAGCGGGTTGGTTGACTTCACATATATCTTTGAATTTCTTCGCCGATATGTGCAGGTTGCGATGTTTTCCTTCACCGTAAGAACGACGGGTAAATTATGTACATATGAAAATTCGAAAAAATCGAAAATCACATTGGTACATGGCGGGATTCGAACCCAAGAACTGTAGATTACAAGTCAAGTGCTTAAACCACTGAGCCACCGACGCTCTAATAATAGTGGAATTAAAGATAATCTGGCGCCAAATTATTTTAGACTTTCAGGGTACTGAAATAGAGATAAATAATGTATTTACCTAAGTATTTAATATTACAATCGTTTATAAATCGGAGTGCGTTCTGAGAGAAACATCGTACAGCTGGTTCCATATCCGTCTATACTTTGTTATTCTAGGCCGGTCTGTACGCTCCGTGTCCGGCTATGACGCCGTTCTGTGAGTTACAAAGGTAGAATCACTAGTCTAAAAATCATTCTAGAAAAGAGTTAGTAATAGTCATTGGTTGTCAATTTTTATGGAAACCAATGTAAGAATTTTTAAATCGAGCAAGTTTATCATCGGTCTGTCAATCAATAGTTACCGATTATTGTCCATGACTTTATTGCTAATACTAACGAAGAAAAGTAACCGAGATAGAAAAGAAAAGTTGCTTGGAACCATTTGAATCATCAGAAATGGGCCTTCCTAAATTTCTTCTAAAGGACGCCAACCTTCTTTCTACAATAGACACTGACCCAGTTAGCAATGGGAGACTTATAGCCAAGCATTTAAAAAGACTTCCCATCAGTGTTCCGTAGCCTCGTCTTGTAGTTAGCATCGTAATGTAAAAGTATGATTCATGTTATTGATGGTTACAGGTTAAAGACGACGTTGCCGTGGGTGCCTGCGGACACGAAGCTATCAAAGTTGGATACGCTTCGTCTAGCTGCCTCGTACATCGCGCACTTACGCGCGTTGCTCGCGCCGCGCTCTGCGCACGCGCCGCCGCACCCACTCAGCCTGGTTAGTACAACTAATATATATAGAAAGAAGAGAGAAATAAACTACTTAATTTAACACTAGATTCATTACTACTGTACAACACTTTCTTATTAAACCAGTCCCGATTTTCTTTCTAAATATAAAAAACGTAAAGATCTTAGTAAGCTCAGCCATTTTAACAAATACCTTCAAAGTTTCATTTACAATTCTATAGAATGTATGTTACTCGTAACTTCACCAAAAAAAAATCATGCAGAGAAAAAAGTAAGAGATCAATCGCGACGTTATTAACACAAACAGAAAAACATGAGACCGCTGACACATTGTCGGTAACGCCCACGGGCGCGGTTAAGATAATTGCTCACAAATTTATCACCTGTCACACTTGTCATCCCCTTAATACTTTGGGTTAGGCACGAGCCCGCTCAGGACATTTGCCAAACGCCACGACTAAATGCTGTCGTCGACGGATTAGAAGCCACGTTCCGCGAAGGCCCGACTTTGTGATCTATGGCACAGGATTAGTACGAGTTAAAAACTGAACTTGCTATAGACGATTCTTTCCTTTTTGAATGTGCAACATATATTATATTTGATTCTATATTATATTTAGCATCTTTTAAGAAGAATTTAAAAGGCTACTCACAAGTATTACTCATAGGTGTTGTAAAGTTGTCTCTTGTTTTGAGGCACTCGAGTTATCAATTTACCAAATTAACTGACGAAACTTATATAGTTACAAAAATATGTGAACGTCCCTGAGAAAAACAAAGATCAAGGCCTCGTTTCAATAACTTAAATCAATGTAAATTTAGACTTTTGGTTACTAAACTTTTTGGTTATTTTTTATCCGTCATCGTGTGTGTTCTATGACCGTTCGCAAAAAAGTAATCCTTTTTTGTCGGAATTATGCAAGAGCATACTTCGCCTAAGCGTTTCTGGATCTTTAATAAACAAAAGTCATCAGTGCGCTAAAGCGATAGAAACAAAAAGGTTACAACAATAAACAGCACCGGTTTTACTGCCGAAGCGCGCGTTGACCAAAAGTTTGCAGCTGTTGAGTGTGTATAAATAAAATTTATCCCCGGACGTTAAAGAGATGCTCCGGTTTATTGTTTCCACGATTCCTTTGTTTTAATGTTTAATTAAGAGCTCAGTGCGTAGGCTGTAATGTTAAATGCAAACGTTATCCTTCTCTTATTAAATAAAATCATGACAAATTCACTTCGACAATATCATTTTCAGATATCTTAATTTGTTTGTTTTTTAAAAAAGGTAACTTAAAAAAGTCTACTGGTTCATAGAACTAGATTTTATATATTCAAATCTACACACATAAAACTTTATGTGATGTGTATGTGTTTTTTTAGGGCACATGGGTGGTCACAATATTGGGATATTCAAAATGTTTTCTGATAACATAAACATAGGTCAAGAACATAATTGCTTGTTCAGAATCTGCGGTAAAAAAAATCATTGTGGGCGGTCTTCCTAATCAATAACAAAACTTAGGCAATTTTGACATACCTAATCTGTTTTACTTTTATTTTATTTAGGAATATTATCAGGATATTTTACTTGTGATGAGATAAAAGAACGATAAAGAAGTAGGTAAAAAGGGTAACCATTTTGTGCTAGCTGTTGCTTGCAACTTTCCCCGCGCGGAATTACAAAATCAAGTAATATATTGCCTATGAATCACAGTGGTGGTGCTTGCGAATGGGGAATGAATTTTAAATATCCGCCTAGTAATTTTTAGTATATTCTTTACAAACAGAAATACAAATATTTCCTCATTATATTAGTATTAATACAGTTTTTATTCACTTTTTTGTTAATTGTATTTTCTTTCAACAGGCGTGGCCATTTGCATTTCAACATGGTGGCACTCTAAGTTGTGCTATATCACAAAGATGGAGTATAAATACACAGTCTAACGACGGAGCCGGCGATAGTCATCGAAATAATAACCTGCAAGTTCAGGAGAATCTTACTAACGTTAATAATGATAACTATAATCAAGATTACTCAGAGAATGACTACGACGAAAGAGGTTATGACGAAAGAGGTTACGACGAAAGAGGTTACGAAGAAAGATGTTACGACGAAGTAAATGAACCTTCAACGACCACGATGCAATATTGTAATTACGGATATAAAGAAAGTTATTACGAAATGAGAAATTCGCATAATTGTGATACTCTTATGAATAACGCGTAATTGAGAACAGATTATATATAGTTTTACTAACACGGCCATTGTAATTCCAAAGGATATATTAATAAATATTTTACTGACCTATTTGTGTTTTTTTTTTCAAAATTACCGGTTTATGGTCGACTGGTTTAACATAACCTTGAGTGGCGGAATCCAGAAATCCCTCTCTGCATATAGCCTAAGAGTCCAAAAGCAGTTTTATATCTTGAAAATATGAAAAAAATACAAGAAATAGAGCCAAAAGTACCTTTATTTAATTACACGCCTCTTTGATGTAGGTTTTAAGAAAGTTGCATCTCATATGTTTGTGTAAAATAAGATGTGAAAGATTTTAAACTCCGTTCAATGTGAGTGTCGGTCGGTAACCGGATCGTTTGACAAAGTCGAGAACCGCTTTGACACTCCGCGGAATCTGACAAAACAAACATATTTGCCAACAAAAAATAACGTGCTAAAAGTCAACGGCACACTTAAAATGATTAATCTTATTTATATTTCTGACTGTAAAATTTACAATATCAAATTTACTACACTGTGCAGTCAAATTCTATTAAATCTATCTTTTTTAAACATTTATAGCTTTAGAAGACTCTAATAGAAGACTAACGGCCACGTTTAATCATTAACTTATAATTATATCAAAGACTAACTGTTGACCGTGACTTCGTCTACGCAATATTAATATAAAAAAGTAGCCTGTAATATGCCCGTCTATGTCAGCTACTCTCCGATGACAGTCTGGTCAAAATTGGTCCACCGTTTCGGAGATTACGCGGAACAAACTCTTACGCAGACAGACAAATAAAATTAAATGGGATTTTGATTACCAGCATCGCAAATACGAATCTTCCCAAAATCTGGAATTTTTCTTATGAAAACATTCAGATACCCCAATTTTATTAGTAGACTAGCTGTTCCCGTGCGATTTCATCCGAATGAAGTTATAAAATATTTATTTTATTGTTTACATTTGTCAAATTATCAATTGCAAATGTTAAAATGACACGACATGATGACAACCTTGCTTCCTTGATGTTGGCAGCAAATTGTGGTCTCTTTCCCACATTAGGGTTTTTATCCAAAATATTTACCCCTAAGTTTGATAGCGTGAAAATATGTAGTCTAAAGCGTGACGTAAGTGTAGGGCTTTTTATAAAAAAAAGGATTATTCAAAAATATGCTGTGATTGCTGACATCTTAGGCAACAAAGAAGTGTGTGTTTACGCTTTATTATATTAGTATAGATGAGAAATGACATCACCAGCCAGTGACACGTGTTGATGTTTTCTAATTTCCATTGAATTTTATTAAATTGACATTTTTAATTTTGTCATTTATTTATTTTTACAGGGGCTTTGTCGCGAAGCGACGTTAACGCCCCATAAGTCTAAAACTTACAAAACTGAGTTATCCATTTTTAAATTTTCAGACTGTAGTGTGTCGTTTGAAGATTCTACTTTTGAGGTTTTGAATAAAATATAGAAACAGCTGTTGAAAACTTTATTACGCATATATAAATATCAAATTGTAGGTATGTATTATGCCAGAGCACACTAAAAAGTCATTCTTTCGTTTATTTACAACAAATTATAATTAAACTTAAGCGAGGCAACGTTTTGGTAAAATTTGATTTAAATAATTAATTACACTTATAATTAAAAACTAAAGCAATGGTGATAATTGTGAACTTATTTTTATTGACTTTCTAATGTGGCAGTATTATACTTAGGTATAAAAGAAAAAAAACATACTTGTACACACCATAGGAAACGTAAATTGATTTTTGTGAATAATCGAATATTACACTGTTTATTAAACTAAGTTTATAAAATTATAGCTAAAATAGCATTTTGCTGTACATTCGCTTCAGGTTTGGACAATAGCATAGACCAGTGATTTTCAACAACTGTGCTGCACTTTTGTGTGCCGCCAAATTTTGCATATTTTTGTCATAAACTACTTATGCAGTGTGTTGTAAGTAAATATTTTTTATCTTTTTCCTTGTGTGCCGCCAAATTTTGAAATCGTTAAATATGGGCCGCAACAAAAAAAAAGGTTGAGAATCACTGGCGTAGACTATCGTGTCTGCATTACTGAAATTAAAATGAAATAATTTTATTCTAATACTAAATCGTTTGATTTTACTCACACATACAGACAGACGAATCAAATTCATTCCGCCCTAATGACACATTTTCCTACGAGTGATTGATAAATTATATCGATATCGATAAATCTAATCAAATTAATCGAAAAAAAAAATCGATTACAAAATGTAAAAAAACTGTATGGTAATATTGGTAAAAAAAATGTGTATATACTTCGTTTATTGCTAAGAGATGAATACAAGATTGATGGTAGAAATCGCGTTTGTTTAGAGAACTTTGATCGTATTCAATACGTTGCAATTTATTGTTAAACTAGCTGTTGCCCGCGACTTCGTCTGCGCAATATTAAGATAAAAAATAGCCTATAATATGCCTGTCTATGTCAGCTACCATTCAGAGTATGTTCGGACGAAATCGCCCCAGCCGTTTATTACCCGGAACAAACGCGGCTTGCGGACAAACAGACAGACAATATATATTAAATGCGATTTTCGTTACCGGCAACACAAACACATCATCTTAACAAAATCTGGAATTTTTCTTTTGATATTACAGACAGACACTCCAATTTTATTATACGTATACAGATAATGTGTTTGGTTTTAACACGGACAGTGATAGGTTTTTTTATAATTTCTGTAATAAATCACGTTTAGCTAAAAAAAAAAATTCTTAAGGCGAAAAATATCTCACTTATTTATAAATATCATTCACAGATAAGAAAAAGTGCCATTTTTCAATCTTATATTTCCGAAATCCTGTAATTTAATATCCAGTATACATTATAATAAAATATTATCTACCATGTTTTTGGTAGTTTCCTAGCTTCTTATAAATTAACTTATATTTAAGCTACAATTCATTCATGCGTGTACAAAATAATCTTCGATCAACAATTACTAGCAACAGACACAAATAACGTGAAAAATATTTAATAGTATATCAGTAGTTTAAAAGTTTAATAATAATAACATACTCGATGTTAAGATGGATATGTGGTGTGACAAGAATGGATAAAGTTAAGATACATTAGGGGAAGTTTGAAAGTAGCGCCAGTGGTGAAATCGAGAAGCAAAAGGTTAGCGTGGTATGGACATGTTATGCGACGAACCGATGGGGACATAAACCAGAAAGTGTTAAGATTGAATGTGGATGGCTACAAAGGAAGAGGAAGACCGAAGAAAGTATGGATGGATTGTGTGAAAGAGGATATGCTTAAGAAAGGAGTGGATTCAGATATGACGGCTGATAGAGATGTATGGAAGAGCAGCACATACTGTGCTGACCCTCCATAAGGGATAAGGGAAAGTGAATGATGATGAGCAGTAGTTTAATAGTAGTGCAAGAAAAGTTTCTAGAAACTTCTCTTCATATGATAATAGATAAGAGAAGGTCCTACCTCCTAATTCACAGCTGTTATAATTAGTTCAGGAGACAGAGATTCAACGAATTTTGTTAAAATGTTTCTTTGATGAAATTTGAATTGGATGAAATTCTTGAAAACCGTTATTTATAAGCATCCCAATACAACCATTTGATTAAACATTTAAAACTATAAAAAGATACAAAAATGTAGCTAAGTTTACTTTATACTAGCTTTTGCCCGCGACTCCGTCCGCGTGAAATTTAAAAATCATAATAAAGAAATGAAAAAATATATCCTATTTTACTCACATATGACCATTCTAAAGGCAAAAGAATTTTTTAAATCGGCAAAGTAGTTTTTAAGCTTATTCATTACAATCAAACAAAGTTTTCCTCTTTATAACATTAGTACAGATTATAAAGTTCTCTATGATTTCATTTCTCTATATTTCTGCGACTGTTTTCATACATTTTCTGTTGGTTAACTAGTTACTGACTCGTCTAGTTCATTATTGATCGAAGTTATGATACAAAGCAAACCATCACTAAAACTAAATTGCATATTTATTGTGTTAAATAAGAGACACTACATAATTATTAAATATTGACAGTTATAGTTTAATGAAATTCCTTTCTGTTTGTTTAGAGTTATTTAGTAAATTGTGTTTGATACAAAGAAAAGCATGAAGTTACTATTTCTTTGTTCCATATTTAAAAATTCAGTTAGACATATTACGCATACTCTATATTGAATTTAGAGGACAAAAGTGAAGAGAAAAAAATACGTCCTAAGGCCTATTTTGGGATTATTTTGCTTACTGCTGTCATTTACAATACTTACAAAATGTAATTTAGAAAATCGTGCCCCAGTCACGTCTCTTGGCTTTTTGAAACACATACTATCATTACCTCAGTATTTCCGTGCTGTGGTAAAAATAATGTTTTTTTTTACCACGAGAAATTGTGCTAGATAATTGAATAATTTGATTTATAATGCGATATGCAAGTGATATACATACTGCTATTCTAAGATCGTTTACATTATACTAAAATAATCCATTACATAATAAATATTAAAAATTAAAGCTCATTATCTACTTGTATTAAATAGCATGATTAAATTCTACAATACCAGTAAAAATCATTAAAAATGTGATCTGTTTTTCATACAAATTAGCCATTATTTTGGCGCCATTACATGACTTCTAGGGATGTTCTTTGTTGCTAATTTTCAAAGTTATATCGATTTATCTTTTAGTTATCGATATATACAAATATATCGATAATTAAAAGAATATTGACGAGCAAAAGAAGTATTTACTTAATTTTTACGTTTGAAATTCTAATCCATATTTATTTATTTGTTTTTTGTAATTTTATTTTTTGCCATTAGTGTTTAGCAACCATCCCTGTATCTTCTAAAAATTACCAATTCAAATTAGAATACATATTTTGCAAATAATTATTGCTCCACATACATACCATAAACTAGCATTACGTAAGAAAAATTACTCGTATAAAATATTACCGCAAATAACGTTACAAAATATATTTGGCAGCTACATAAGTCCATTACATGGATATTGATGAATTCAATTATTTTTACTACGATCTTTCTTTTCTTTTTTATCTGTTAAGTCAGATATATTTGTCTATGATAGAGTAACATAGAAATGTCATGTCATTGCGTCAAACCATTGTTATAGAGTAATGCTGAATCAGCGAATGTATAACAAATAATACTAGCGTCCTCCTCGAGGGAAATTGTGATTAATAGATCACACAGTCCAAATACTTTTGAACCCATCAGACTGGACATTATTCGTATTTAATCTTTACTAGCAAGATATTTTCATGCATTTATAAAAACGCATATTGTTAATTTGTATTTACCAATCTTGATAGATTGTTTTAGACGTTATGTTAAATTGCTAACGCCATATAAATGTTGATGCGACTGTCATTCTAAGAAACTGTAAAGTTTTTTCAATACCATATCTTCACGTTCACATAATGAGCTAAATTATTGCGTTATTTGTATTCCCTTATTTTAAAAAGCATACAATTTTTAAATCCATTCACTCTTTGACTAACTCAGCCTGTTTAACTTAATATAAAGCTACAATACCTTTAAATCGCTACGTGAATAAATATAGATTGGACTTGTCCTAGCGAGATAATATAAAAAAGTTACATTTTCTACGTAATACAAAATTACAAAGTATCTAAACTTTAATAATATATCAAGTGTACAATATAAGACAATTATATGTCTTTAATGTTACATTTATGTTGATTATATGACTCGTGTTAAAAAGTTTTTGTAATTTTTTTAAATGGCAACTTTACATAAAGGGATGTATCAATGTAGTTAATGTTTCAAAAAACATTCGATTTTGTTGCTTTATTCAAAAAATGGATTTTTAACTGTTTTCACATTATCGATAAATTAATAATTGGACATCCCTATTGAAATGATTTTGTATGGTCTGTTATTAGCTATGATAATTTTGAACATCATTAAATCTTTTTTGTTTATATTCAAATCTATGTAATATGAGAATTCCCTGTAGAATGTCTTTATGTGAATGAGAGAGCATATTTTTGTTGTATGATGCCATAATCTATATACTGATAAATATGACTGGATACAATTCTGTAATATGACTGGATACAATAAATATTACATAACAATGGACATAACGTTCAAAGTAGAAAGAAAAATACCATGTCTTGTTTTTTTTTTTATATTTGTGGTTAAATCTTACTGTAGACGAATGAATAATTAAAATTTTTTGAAATATTCCGATAAAAATTCTACGTTTTGTCCACTATTAGTAAAAGAACAGATTTGTGCTATCGACAACATAACAGGACTCAATAATCGATCGATCTTGAACCATTTTATTTTATTTTCTTCAATTCTATAATAAAAATGGATAAGTGAAAACGTAATTTAATCCCCGGATCTTTAATCTTCAGATCGGTTATTGGGTTCAGTTGTAAATTACAATTCAGTACTGAAACTTACATCAAATAAATCATACCACTAACATCCAAACAATTCAATTAAAAAAATAATAATTTACTCACATAAATTATAGATTCAGTCCCTTTCACTACAACACTACGTTTGTATAAGTTAGAGAAAACATTTTTAAATAATTTAAATATTAAATTATCACTTATTTAATTTTTTTTTCTCATCTGGCAAAACTTGAAGCAATCATCGAATCGATTCGAAATTATATGTAACATTTTATTTGTGAGAAATTTTATAAAAATATAAGACGGGGCATGTATTGGGGAAGACGGGTCTTGATTTGTTACAACTTTTTTTTCTTGGCTTTCACACTTAAGTGTATTTAGCCATGTTAGAACTTTGAACTGTTAATGTCTTGTTAACAAAGAGCGTAAAAATATTTAGAGGAGACATAGTCGACACACTTGAAACATTTTTCACATAATCTCATTAACGCTATCTTTTATATGTTCATATTTTTACAACGCTGTTAGTTTATTTTTTAATAAAAGATGGAGCTTAATGTTATTTTATAAAACGTTTTATTACGCGTAAATGTTATAGATGGGGCACTAAACTTGACAACTTATATAGTACCTTTCAGAGATAGTACCGATGAGAAGATGTTAACTATGTCTGGTCTATATATTGTTCAAATGTCTGTGGTTATTAAATATTTTTTTTAATCGGATATCGGTATTACTTGTATTCGAAAAGATTCGATAACGTAAAGCGATATTGAATACAGACTACAGAATAAAAAACGTCTCAGAGCCGCTTCAGAACTACCTCCCGGAGAATATGCTGATGGAATTAGATGACGTTCTTTTACGTACGAGGGTGGCTTCAACTGAAAATAAAACAATTTGTAACAATTAATACTTGTTTTATGGACACTGATCTCTATAAATAGATAGGTTGCTTGGATATGACAGTTTTTACTTCCTAACGTGCTCGTTGAAGTTCCTAATTAAATACTTCTAACTGCACCAGTCAGCGCCAAAATGGAAAACCACATAGGTACAAAATATTACGGTTTATCCTGTCTATTTATAGAATTCAGTGGCTGCAACACATTAAACATTATTGGTGAAACATTCTGTATGACATAAAATTTAGTTACGCCCTATTTGGGTAAACAATTGTTTTTCATTCTGACTTTATGTTTCTTTTTTTCATGAAAAGGTGGCAAACATGCTAGCAGCCTGAATTCGCTGAAAAAGCGAAGACACACACACATTCAGTAAACGTTAATCTTACTAATTTCGTTGGATGGATGGATGTTTGTTATAATCTGTAGCTTAAACTGCTCAACGGACCTCGATGAAATTTGGCATAGATGTAGAGGATAGTGTGGAAGAACACAAAGGCATTTTTTATACTAGGCGGGCGTATCGCGGGCGAAAACTAGTATATAATATTATACCTTTCATTATAAAGTAGTAACTTACTCTTTACATATGATAATAGATAAGAGAAGGCCCTGTCTCCCTAAACAAAGTAATTATTTCAGGAGAGTCTCTATGAATTATATCAAAGTGTTTTGTCCTATATGTCCTAAACGTATATTAACCACAATTTGTAATTATCTTTTAGTTGGTATAACTGTTGTGATTGTTAATCTCTTGTTTTGCAATAAAATTATTTCTATTCTATTCTATTCTAGAGTTTTTTTATGTGTAAAACTAGCTGTTCCCATGCGACTTCATCCGCAGGTAATTATAAAAACTTTATTTTATCGTTTACATTTGTCAATTTATCAATTGCAAATGTCAAGATGACATAACGATGACAAAACTTTGGCAACCTTGCGTCCTTGATGTTGGCAGCAACTTATGGTCTCTTTCCCACATTAGGGTTTTTATTCAAAATATTTACCCCCTAAGTTTAATGGCGTGAAAATATATAGCCTAAAGCGTGACGTAAGTGTAAGTCTTTTTATTAAAAAAAAGAATCATTTAAACATGTGCTGTAATTGCTGACATGTTAGGTAATACAGAAGTGTGTGTTTACGCTTTATTATAATAGTACGAGCTGTTGCCCGCGACTTCGTCCGCGTGATATTAGAAAACATACGTATCCCTCGGGAACCGGACATTTCTCGGGGATGAACCTCGTCCCATGTGTACTCCAGAATTTGTTTTATATCTGTGCCAAATTACAAAAGGATATGTTGAACCGTTGCAGAATGATCGAGTAAACATTAAAAAACTAAATTAATGAATCCCACAGGAACCGTAACTATTCCCGGGATAAAAAGTACCCTTTTCTTCCAGACTATGCTCTAAACCTGTGCCAAATTTCATGAAGATCCGTTCAGCCGTTTAGGCCACAAACGCTAACAAACATCCATCCATGTAAACTTTGGCATTTATAATATTAGTAAGATAGAAGTATAGATATGGAGTTACTGGTGGAGTCCTGCGGCGAGAGGGGCCGCTTGATGGCGTGCTGTATGACGGCGAGCCAGGCGGCGCGCTCCTCGTGCGAGCTGGCGGCCAGCGAGTACGTGCGCTCCGGCGTCACCACGTGGAAGGGGAAGCGCGCCTCCTTGCACCCGTTGCCGGTGTTCGACACTTTGATGCAGTAACCGTTGGACTCGTGACCTGGAAACCCACCATAATTAACTCTAAGCATTGAGAATGTTGAGAAACACATTCTGAGGTAGAAATTTAACAGTTTTTTACTAAACTTTACTATAAAATTTTAGAGGTGGTAAACGAGTAAGCGACCACCTATATCCGACAAAATGGCGAATTGCAGATGCGTTAGCTAACTTTAACCGACACAAGAGAAGCCGCACTTTAGAACAATAATATCCCGTCCTATGCTTGTCCACAATTAAATCTATTTTACTTCCCATCTTTTCCTTATAATAGGAAAAGGGTTGAAAGAGGGACTAAATTTAGGCCTCCGGTGTCACAGTCATCAGACGAAACGCAGCATTGCTCCCATTTGCCTGTCTTCTGTGTGGTCGTGGTATTTCCCGGGCAAGTCGTCCTATTTGTGCGAAGATATTAAAGCGGACTCTACCACTGTTAAAAGCTTTATCATTGATATAAAAGACATTGACTTACCAATGAATATCTCTCCTTTGGGGTAAGCATCGAGCGGTTCATCGTGGTACATGAGTTTCCTGTTGTCGAGAGTGAACCAGCGGCGGCGGTGCGCGTCGGAGGACCTTGGTCCTGTCTTCCACAGCCAGCCTTCGCGGGCGAAGTCCTTCGGTAGCCGCAGGATGAGATCTGACTGAGGTGTTGATGGAAACGCCACTTGAAGCAGGTGCAGTTTAGCGCAACGGATCGCCATATACCTAAATGTATGTTATGAGATGTAGTTAGAAAAAGTTCGTTGAAAATTATTAATCTTACCTCTTAATAATACGACTTATTACTAATATTATAATGAATGGATGAATGTTTGTTAGAGTTTGTAGCCTAAACGGCTGAACGGATTTCGATGACATTTGGTATAGATGTGGAGGTTAGTGTGTAAGAGCACATAGGCTGCTCACTTTTGTTTTTTATTATTCTACGCGGACGGAGTAGCGGTCGAAAGCTTGTCTCACAACATTATAAATGCGAAATTTTATCATAGATGGATGGATGTTTGTTAGTAACCTAAACCATTGAACGGATCTCGATGGAATTTGGCATAGATGCAGAGTATAGCCTGGAAGGACACATAGGCTACTCCCTATTATTTTTTTTTATTATATGCGGACGAAGTCGCAGGCGAAAGATGGTATCTCTATATTGTAAAGACTTACCAGTAGTTAATGACTTCTGGGTCCTCATGATACACGTAGATGTGCCTCGTTGAGCCGTCTTTCATGAAGGTTAGCTGCATGGAGTTCATATGTCCGATCTTGGCCGGCGCGAACGCGACGTTCAACTCCGACAGTCTAAGCACCCCCTTAGGTTCTTTATTCTCTTTAACGTGGTACCTATGACATACAATGTTATGTATATTTAAGATTTTTGTTTGTACATATTATCGATGACGTCATATATGAGGATAATGATCAATGAGCGTTGATGGAATTTAAAAAGCGTCAATGTAATGATGCGTCAGCACTCGCCAAATACATTTTAACAAAACATGTTTATTTCAATACGCGACAATAACAAGATTAAAAACCGATAAGAGTTATTACCTATTCAGTCTATTTTGTAACCGAACCGGAATGCATTTATTGTATAATTGAATACACATTTGGGCTAAACCGTAGTTTGAATTTACGCTCTTACCTCCAATGAGAAAAGTTTTTGAGATGGAGACGATCGATTAAGCGACGGATAGGACCCGTGGCTCGGCCACAGTCCTCACAAGGATGGTGGTACCTAAAGACCAGGTCGATAACATTTAAGCCAAACTAAGGACAATTTAATTTTGACTTTATAACGAAATTTTTGACAAGGGCACGTAAACTGCAGATTAATTTTTCTATCCGTATTACATAGTTAACAAATAACGGAATACTTTTATTATGTTTTTTATTTCTTTACATTCATATAATATGACAGGGATAATCTTTTTAATACGTTGTTTACATTCAATGCGTATTTCTATAATCGCGTTGACTGATACGATTTACTAACACATCAAACCTACTTAAGCTCTACGCCGCATATTAAAAGTAGACTAAATAGTCTGTCATACATTGCAGAATTACTTCTTGACCGATTAACAACAGCTGTAACCAAAACTTTTTCTGGAATAAATATAAAATAGACAATTTTTTAATTAAACACTCGTCATCACCCCTACTTCCGTAGGGTCGGCGAACCAGGATTTCGTCCTCCAAATAACTATCATCCGTCATCTCAGTCATCACTGCCTTTTTAATTAAACACTATTTAAAAATGATGTCCACGAAGTGTGTAACTAAACGTTTTGCTTCATCAGACAACGTGACATGGTAACCGTTTTACAAATTACCGTAATAGTACGTCACAGTAATAATTTACAATACATAATTTTCGCGAGAAATCGTTAACTCCACATTGGGTGTTTGTTATAATCATTAAGATGTACTGTATACGTGAATCAATAAAAAATAAATGCATATATATGAAAAATCGGATTGTATAAGTATACAAACCTCTATTAGTCATTTTGGATTACGTCATCAATGACGTCTCAACCGAAAAGGAAAATACGTGGATTCATATAAAACAAGGATATCGGTGCCGAGGAAAAAGTCGCTGATATTCTCCTATCTATCGCGCTTGATACACGGTTTACACTTTGCCAGTACAGTTGGTCAACAGCGCTCTGATTGGACTGTCATTAACTGGCAGAATGTGAACGCTTACAGGCGCCAAGGGGTGTCGCTTGCAGTCGCAACTGTACAACTGTGCTGGCCAAGTGTGAACCGCGTGGAAAATTACAGTTGTAAGACTTTTTTGGCATTGTCAAGGGCGCTAGTGACCTGTCACAATTTAATTTGACTTATAGTCACCGCTTCAGATATGCCCGTCGGTCTATACCAGTGAAAAACTTTTACCTTCCTATCGGATAATGGCAAAAGAAATTATTGGGAGACTAATGACGCAATCATTTATACAAGTAAAGATTTCCTTAAGCATGTTAAGTATTTATAATCTTTGCGTCAAACGATTTGTTAATTTTATATTGACGTCGCTAGTCAATATTTGTATGAGCTTGACGTAGTGCTTCAATTCAATACGAAGGTGTGGAAGTTTTCGTGGAGAATACGTCACTCGCCGAACAGACGCTTACTTTCGCGCCAAAATGTCAATCTTTTTCATAATATTTTTAATCGCTTCTGTACATCGAAATTTAATCAAGATATACTTTTAAACAGTTGAGTACAGTCTGATACTATTTTAAACAGTAGAAACAATCATTTATTTCTATATTAATATTTGTTGTTGCTAAATATAGACGTGTATAACAGGCGAGGCATTATGCTTCTGTAATATTTAACGAGGCAGGTGTACGGATTATCCAACATTACAAAAACATAATTACAGGCAAATGCGTAATTAAAATTAATGACGACAGGATAATATGCGGTTTCATTTTGTCTCGACAAGAATATGAGAATAGCAGTTACGTTTAATTACCGAAAATAATTAGAACTTTGTTTTTCTTCTAATTTAACAAATGGTTGGGTTTAGATAGAACATTACAGTTAACTTTACAACAATAAAGTTAATGGTAGCATAATGTTAGCTTAATAATGATATTATAAGCATTTAATGTTATTTTGAAATATAAAAAAGCTAAAATGCAGTAAAAGGTTTAAACATTTGCTTCTATTTCACTATTATTACGGATGAATGAAAAACCCTTGCTTAACGGAAGGATAGCAAAAAAAATTACCAGCATCGTAATGGATGTACTGTTACACTGAACACTGTTAAAAGATATGTGCCTTAGTTGTTTGTTCACATAATCAATACTCACTTCAAAGTATCCTCGTTTTCATTTAAAACGAACTTCCTTCGCTGGTAACGGCTGTCCTCTTTGCCACGCTTCATCAGGAATCCCTCCATGTAGCCCGACAGGTAAGTCTGTCGTTCAGGATGACAGAACTCTTCGCGCTCGTATTTAGCACGTATCCATTGCTCGATTAATACTCTGAAATTATTTAATTATTTCATCTATACATGAAATGTATAAAGATTATCTAGAAGTGTTTAGTAGAACAATAATTGATTGATAATGGCTCTTGTATATTTTAAATTATAACATCGATTATTCTTATGTTTTTGACACGGACAGAAAATTTGTTAAGTTAAAATTCACGCAATTTGAACTTTCTCACTCATATTGTTATAAAAAAAATAAGAAAAGCATCATAATAATATGTAGTATATATATATAAGAATGTTAAAAAGGTAGAGATATTTACTCAATTGAATATTTTATTGTTTACATTATACGAGTGATGTAATATATAGCGTGTTTACAAATCAAATTACTTAGAAGAATGTGTAACAAATGCTATTATGTAGTAATTATAAAATTCTATTAAGCATTTATTTATAAATAATGAAAAACGTAATCCACAAATTTTAAATGCATAGATATAGATATTATAGAATAAATGTGTGTCAAGTTCGCGACAATATTCGTGTCTCTAAAAAACAGTTATTCGGTAAAGATAGTAACAAAAATTAAGTTTTGCATATTCATGTATTACATTACTCTAACTTTATATTGCAACTGACGAAAATAAGTTGTCAAAAAAAATTAGCTGACTTTTTTCTTTCTCTCATTGTATAAAAACTGTTCCACATTATTCACATTCCGAAGTAAATGGTATAAAAAATATTACTCCTTTATAACACGCCAAACTCTCTCTTGTGAATCATGAATGAAGCAGTCCGAAAGTAAAATAAAAGTAAGAATGAAAAAATCTAGTCCAACAAGGTGTGAAACTATTTAAAATATTTAATAGACTAACCGGTTTTTTAGTATATCCCTATTATACATATTTACGGTTCATAAAGCATTAATTTATTCGATGATTTGTAAACATTTTTAAAACTGACAACTTCAAATACTTTTGTCTGCTTTTAGTCTAACTAACAACAGTAAACATTTCTGGTTTTTTAATTAGACCTTGTATTGGACAAATTAGTATTTCCATTGGTGTCAAATTATTGCCTTAAACTTCTTAAAACTAGCTTTTGGCCGCGACTTAATCCGCGCGGAAATAAACATAAACATAAAGTGACAAATATAGCCTGTTAGTGATCATTTATCTCCTCTCTCTCCTATGTACAGTCTCGGAAATCCGCAGTGTTCCACTTTAAGAAAAAATCCTTGTTCATTGCAACAAGACAAACTCCGCCTCTTCCTACAAATCATTAGGTAGTAGAGGTTGATTCAAACGAAGGGGTATTAACAAAAAAAAACTAGCTGTGTTGACACACGACTAGTTTATTTTTATAATAGTAAGAGACTGGTAGTGATCTACCAGTCTTTTTTTCGGACAGATACATTTATAAGCTGCATTGTATTGATTTTCGTTCCGCGTCTCGTTTCAAATTGTTCAAACGATTGTATCTTTTGAGTTGGGACAGCGCCAGTGTCCCCTACTGTACAGAATAAATACTTTATAACAGTTGTATATGCTAACTAATTTCTGTTTACTTACTGTGGGTCGTTCTTCGTAGGTCTTCGATAACAGGGTGGGACTCTCTCTTCGTATTTGTTCTTTGCAGCTGTGTTCCCGACTTCCTTCATACGCTGTACCTGCGAATCCTCCCAGCGGTCGAGTTCAAGATGTTTTACTTTACTGATATGCGCTCCCATACTGCGGTGGATACTGGCACATCGCATGCAGATGAAAATGCCCAAGTTGTACGACGCCCAGTCCGGGTCTGGAAAAAGATAAAGTTCTTACCGATTTCGTATTCACCTTTTAGATATATTAAGAGAACACATTAAAGGACTTATTACGGTTTAAGATAGTTACATAAAAAATTGTTGGTTAATAATCACAAGCGACTATCCTGAAATTGTGACATAAAAGATACTGCTACGATTTCACTACACTTGAGTGCTGTGCTGTATAAAGACGGTCACTATGTAAACCTAGGTAATTTTTACACTATACATTGCAGAGGGACACAATGTTAATGTTTTATTTTTAAATAGATGTTAAAAATGAGATTTATTTTCTTAATCACTTTTGCTTGGTACTTTAATGAATGCATTTTCATATACCTACAAAACATCGTTAAGTGTAAATAATATGTACCCACATTTGAAATTATCAACTAATATCCATAATTGGACTACATTAAAAAAACAACATTAGATTTGAAGCGCTTATCTATACTATCTATATCTACACTATTATAATAAAGCGTAAACACACACTTCTTTGTTGCCTAAGATGTCAGCAATCACAGCATATTTTCGAACAACTCTTTTTTTAATAAAAAGCCCTATACTTACGTCACGCTTTAGACTATATATTTTCACGCCGTTAAACTTAGGGCTAAATGTTTTGGATAAAAACCCTAATGTGGGAAAGAGACCATAAGTTGTTGCCCACATCAAGGAAGCAAGGTTGCCATGGTTTGACATCATGACATCATTTTGAAATTTGCAATTGATAATTTGACAAATGTTGAACGATAAAATGATTTTTTTATAATTTCATGCGGATGAAGTCGCATGGGAACAGCTAGTTTATCATAATGTTTAAAATAAGAAGTTATGTTAAAGTAAATATTTATCAACACACTCATGATAAGGGGAAATTAAGTTATTGAAAAAAAAAAATCTAAGAGATTTGTGTTTTTTTATACATTTTAATTATGTTCAGTTATTTTAATTGTTACACCGAGTTAAGTATTTCAAAGTCGTAAAGTAATTGACGATAACAAGTAGTTTGTGAGTGAGCGAGTAGGGTCTATCTATGCTTATCTAGACGCGATAACGGGCGCCGCATTTTGTCAACAGAACAGGAAATTTTGATGACGTCACTCCGCAAACAGATGACGCGTCTAAAATAACAATATAAAAAAACATCGCTAATGTCGACCAATATTGATATGGGTGTGGGCATTGCGTATAACTAAAATGTGAATGAAATATACACGCCCAACTCGGAGCAAGAAATGATAAAACTGCTCGTTGCGATGGTCCGAATCAAAATAGAATAAGCTCTCAGCTCCCGCGAAGTTCTATAAGGAAACCTAACGCTGTTAAAATAAATAATTCGACCATCAGAAGTTTATTATGATAATTAATAAAGAAATAATGTGCGTTCAGGAGATTGTGGAAAGAAACAAAATAAATGACAGGCATCTTTGCATAATTTTTTATGTGGGTTTGCCATTTGCAGAGCAAACCCACTATAATAAATAACATGTACAAATCAACAAGAATCACTTTATCGGTTAATGTATCAGGTTTTTTTTTTATTGAAAACGGAAACCATTTGAATATTTTAGTTTTTAATTGCGTAAAAAATCTCTTAACATTTCGTCGAATTCGCACAATCGTCTTGTGAAAGTAAAGCGAGGCGCACAGTGTACCTCGTGACGCAAGTAGAACATAATATTATCTTATCAAAACAACCTATGTTACTTTATTTTTCATGATACGTTCGGAATAACAAATATCGCGAAAGAAAACACATTTAATAAATTTAAATAGTTTTCGTGGACTCGGTGACACAAATTATGTAGGTTTTTAACAATTTTGGAGAAAAAATAAATATGTCGAAAGTCGATTGAAGATCATTTAGAATACCTGAACAAAATATAGGTGCTTGCATCACTTCGTTTCATGTTTACAAGCGTTTGCATGTGTGTACACACCGACACGACGTCACATGCACACATACACAGAGCGGCCTCTCGACGTTCGTAAATAACACACGGTATGTTTTGGTCATAGTTGCGGGTGGATCTTCGCGTATGTTCCTAAACAGGTTTCGATGAGAAACGTTTCAATCAAAACGATTTGAGCAACAAAGAGTGTTTCGCGGATAACTAAACAACCAATGAGCTACTCCTTCTTTTGTGTGGTGGACCTGACTTCAGTTATTGTACGTCATATTTATTGAACCACTTGACCGTCGTAGCGGATGGTTATTGTTGTGCATTAACGACGCAAATACCCGGGTTCGCGGTCACCGGATATCGCCACGAATTTTAACACCAGCTTTGAGATGTTGATTCTTAAAAAAGTGACTCTCATCACGTATAACGAGTCTTGATAACATCGGCGTGAAAATAACTCTCGGTACAGATCAACTACGAGTCGCATCTCCAAGTTACAAGAAAGTACAGATGGAGAGAAGAAGAGATGGACACCTCTGTCCTGTTAAAGTCCAAGTTAGGAATGGTACCAAACAGTTGTTAAAATATCTCACAATGATGTAGAGTTAAAAAAGGGTATCCAGTACTACGATATGTCCCCGATTTTGTTACAAAATGTTTATATTACGGAATTTTATTATAGGTTCGAGTAGCGCTAAGCATTGCTGAGGTTTCGCATCATAAATAAATGAATAATACAATTACTAATCGTCTATTTATATATAATAAATTAAATTATGAAACTTTATATGACAAAATATTGTTATATTCACCTTTTATACGGGCTGAGCTTCCGAAATGTATATGATTAGCTCGTAACATAGTCCCCTTACCCTAAATTAGGCACCCTAACTTATATAAGCACTGAGCCCCCAGATGGGGACAATCATGAGCTGATGACAAACTCTTAGCTAAACAACCTGGCTCTATGCGATATATTTCAATGTTATTTGTAATGTATTACAATTTTTAGCAAATATGCGTATTATATTTGGGCGTTTTTGATTTTTGTCTATATAATTGCGATTTGTAATTTGCACATATAAAGACTCCGTTCTAGTATCGTAATTTAGCGGACATTTCGTTATCAGTCATTATACTTGTGGAAACGACCTTCATTATACGTCAATGACTAACTTTACCTAATAAGATAAGATACTTTTTTAATTCAACAAAATGCTTGATAAATTAACAGTAAACTTTTTTTAAATAAGACATAACTAATTACGGATTTTGACTTTTCTCTTTCAACCACGAGTTTGCACTACATGAACACGTTTACAAGCAATAATGCCATCCCTTTTACTGTGTTCAAGAAAATAGAGACGCCTATATATTGTTATACAGGTGTACAGGAAAGCGATAACGTGTATTCAACATAAAAAAACAGTAATTATCAATGTATGGTAAATACGACATTTAATGATAGCAGCGATATTTAAGGTCATTGAACTTTATGCACGATAATCGTAATAAAATAAACATAGAATACCTCATAGCAGATATAACAACATAGTATAAATTATTAGATAAGTACTCTCGATAAACATATTTTTAAAACTCTTCGTTCTGGACACATTCCGTACCTAGTTTGCCTTTATGATGAAAAAACCTCAATCCCCTAATTGTCAATCTTACGGTGTTAAGACGTGCAACACGTGTTGGCGGAGTCCAGAACAAGAATGAGAGAGAAGCACTATTTAAGAAGCACAATCTGCTGAGACACCATGTTGGTGGATTCTTATCGGCATTGGCCGAGCCACTTACGGATCGGATTTTATTTAATATCTATCAAGGTTAAGTCACCCTTCTTGTGTAAGTACCTGTGTGTAAAGGTGCCAGCTAAAAACCAGCGCAGAAGCGACCTGAGCCGTCTCTGCATTAGCTGAGCTTGTCAACTTTTACCACATTTCTTCTTTACTAGCTTTAAGGTTGATGTACGTAAGATCTCATTTGTAGCTTCTTTTTGTGGCAATAAAAGTACTATTTTTTTTTATTTATCCTCGCTATCAGCATGGTATTAAAGGCATTATAATAATTTGTAAATATGAAGTCTTTATTGTTTCTCATTTTCTTTTTTTGTATGTCTTGTATAAGGCATTATGGGACTGACATGTTCCAAGGAACCAAAGTCCCTATAAAAAATAAAGAGAAAAAAAATGTTTTTAACATGGTCACTGCAACGCAATTATTTGATGTAAATAAAAGTTAGATTGTTCCATTACAATATACTATTGTTAGTAATTCTAATATTCATTACAATATCAAGAAGCCTCAGAATACCTGCATGGAGGTATGTATTTCTTTTAACTATTATCCAAATTGTCTTTTGTCAAAGATTAGGTGAGAGGGGAAGAAGTTATATGGTCCTGTTACTTAACAAGAAGTACCTACAAAGATTAAAACAAGGCTTTTGTTTTGTTTTAAAACATTAATAAAGACAAAAGTATATTATTGTATATAACGGCAGTTTACTTTTGAGGGATTACTTTGAAGAGGAAAAAAAAATAATTGTTTTCATACTAATGTCTAGTAAAACTTTCTCCTGAAATATTTTGGTATTAGCAAATTTTAGTATAGAATTGTCAGCAAGAAAATAATAACCTTTCATCGAAATAAATATTACTTTTAAGTGATTTACAGAAATATCGGTAATGAATTGTAATTAAAAAAAAATATTAATTGGTTGTTGTGGCTTCATAATTGGCGATTAAAAGTAAAAAGTGAAAATGTAATTAACGTCAGTCAGTTCGGATAATCGCAACAGATTCAACATCAGTCATTGAAAAAAGTTGTTTTAAAAATTAAATCCGAATTTCGAAAGCAACAGAGCGAACAATCAATACCGTTAATTAGAATATGGTACGTGTTAAAAAAGCAAATATTAAATTAATTACATAACGAATGGCAGAATAATAAATAACAGACTTTTTTTAAGGTCAATGTCCGAATAAAGAAGGCGGGAACTTCAAATACATAAATAGGGTTCTCCAGCAAAGCATCTTTTTATAACATTAAAACAAGAAATGAGCTAAAAGTGGACGTAATCCAAAGCGTAAATTATTTATCTTATGTTAAGACAAACAACGACTTTCCCGACCTGGGTTAAAAACTTAGGGACTGTCCCACCAAATTGTAGATTGTCTGATAACAATTCAACGTATAAAATATGTGAGGGAAATATCGGATTTTGTACCCTTATCTGACAGTGACGTCATTTTTAAGATATCTGAGCTCTATCAGACAGTGGTGGGACAGTTGTAGTTTACCATGTTACCAAATGTAAATGAGTAGATGATCTATTTACTAAAAAAGTGTTACTTTCAATGGATTCAAGGATAAGCATTGATAATCTATGGATGGCTTTGTCATACTTAGGTACCTAATCTATATTTATACTAATAGTCGTATTACAAAGATGAAAGATTTGTATTTTTGGATTATTGTATGTATTTCATTTTGGTAATAACTACCGGGGCCGAGTTTGATATTCTTTTATCGTTAGAAAGGTAACTTATCTGTGAGTGTTATTTTAAATTTAACGCGGACGAAGTCGCGAGCAACAGCTAGTATTTAATATTACTGATATTTTATTAGTGTTATTGTGATTTAGGTAAAATTAATTCGATTTACCTCTTACATTTACAGAGTAAATGTATATTTTACAAAATGCTTTATATAGAAAACGTATTTTGTAACATTTTACGTTTTGACAAAATGAGAGGTTAACAATATGGCAATATGATATTTGAATCCAATGCTATAAGATAATATCAAACCACAAAAACCGCAAACATCGCAAACAAATGACGTATCTAAATAAAATTAGCAATTTCTAATAAATCATTTGACATGTCATCAGGAAGGAAGGATACTAAAATTATTTAATTGCGCATACCAGCTCTACCATCACAAATATAACTAGAAAGTAAATTGAAAAAAAAAAACAATCAAGGCAATGAAGTAGACAATATTTGTTTTTTTTTCGAGAAAGGACATAAGTAAGTAATAGAAATATTTCAAATTTCTCGCGACTTCGCCCGCGTGAAATTAAAAAAAAAACATAGCCTAGTTCAGTAGTTTTTGAGTTTTTTATACATACAAAAATCCAAAAATACACATCTCTCTCTCTCTCTTTATTACATTAGTATAGATGAAAGTACAAAAGCACCTATTTTATCACATATTTAAGTATGTATTTAGTATTTACTAATCTTAATTCACTAATTAAGAATATAAATACAAGTTTTATAAACAAGCTAATTAAGTTAATAAACAAGTTAATTATTGTTCAGAAATTATCATAAAATCCATAAAAACATCACTTGTATGTCCATCAGAATTGTGAAATAACAAATTATAACGACTGATAAATCAATAACGGCAATTATCTTACTTCTTACTTTATAAATGCGAAAGTTTAGATTTGTATGGATGGAAGTTTGTTTGAGTTTACCGCCTAAACAGCTCAACGGATTTCAATGAAATTTGGTGTAAAGCAGTCTACAGCAGACATTATAAAAAAATGCCGAAAACATTGAAATACTTTTTATTAAAGCTAATGAACACTATTCACGCAATGGTAATTTTAAAAGTGGGAACAAACTATTGATAAAAATAGAAAAAGTTAAAAATTCTAAACATCACATACATATCTATAGTTTCCATGACGCAATTACAAAAAAAAAAACACAATTCTAAATTTAAAAAGTCATCAATGATTAAAGCTATTGATATATAGAGCAAGGGAAACAATATTTTCGCGGGTTTTTACAAATAATCAATATTATAATGTTAAATCTTTTAATACTTTTGACAAATTGATTCAGTTTATAGCTTAGAGACTTCATATTGTATTAGTTATGTTTGTATTTACAGATGCCTGGAAGTACAGAGGACGCAAGCTAAGGAACTTGCGACGTGACTCATATGTTGTACAGACATTGATTGTTCCGTACCAGGCCCCACAACTAGATTACATTCACATCTTACTTCGAAGAACGTAATGTATATCGAAAAAACAAATTTAAGAGCAGTCTTAGTAATTAATAACACATCTCGTATTAAGAAAAAAACAGAGCAGTAGACTTGTAATTTTAGTCAGGGTCGTTGTTTTCTTGAAAAATATAGCACTGATATTTCAAAATTTCCATAGCATGCTTTCGGTCAAAGAAAATCAATCCTCAATTAGCTCCTGCCTATTTAGGCTCTGTAAACAGAGACCTTAAACCGATATATTTATAAGATATACGACTCTACATGACGGAATTGTCAATTCAATGTTATTATGCTCAATGTTGATTATTTGTTTTGATTGAATGCATTTTACGTCGAGGTCACTGAACTCCAGAGCATGGACGCACTTACGCCCCCCCGCCTGTTCACTACCCCATAGAAATACCACGTTTTACGAGTTAAGATAAATCACAAGTTAAAAACACTGTAACATACCCTCGCTTCCACAATCGGCACAAACATTATTTCCACTTTTCTTTAGCAACTCCTGTAACAATTTCTCGTTATGATCTACCATCGTGGAACTTTTGCATCAATAATGAAGACACACGCTACTAGCGTACGTCGCCGCCCGAAAGTCGAACGCACGTTTCGAACGCGACGAGCGATCTCTACTGCGCGCGGGCGAGGGAGCGAGCGAGACTTCGACCCCACGAACGACGCGAACGCTCGGTTCAACGAGACGACGAACACCGAACATACGTGAAAATTTCGCTATTTCACCCACTCGTATTCAAAAACGATTAGGATGAATGAGATAGAAAGAGAGGTCTAGTTTCGGTACATGAATGAAATCTGTGAGTAGTAAAATATACGATATAGGTATTGTGTAGAATGTATAGTGATGCCTCGTAAAACTTTTATTTGTGTGCGCATGGCGTAGTACGTGCAGCGACGTAATACAAGTGCCGCCGGTCGTCGCCGTCTCGCGTAAATACTAAATAGACTTATGTATAGTCTCAAGAATACTTACCTATCTACGTCTACCAATACATACCTGATTCTGTCTGAACATTCTGATTAAGAACAACATGAGCTTTATTTTGCATTGACGTAGTTCTAGTTAACGAAGTTAAAAATCTAGTTGACAATTTAGGATTTTTACGTTTAAATTATAATCCTGTCATAAGTATTCAATAACCTTAGTTTTCACAACCCAAAAACCCGACTGTATATTTCAAAGACATCAGAAAAGATTTACAATAAAACAATTATAGCGAACGAGATTTGAAGTAGTTTTCTATTTTATGTCTCTTGTGCATTATACTGGTTTTGTGTCCATATAATATACCCTATGACATTCCGGGGAAGAAGATGGATTAAATCATTTAATTATTGAGGTGTTCAATGGTCAAAATTCGTTCAGCCGTATTAGTTCTAGGCGTTACAATAGATTTCGTAAATTCATTCAAATTCTCCATTCCTACATAAATCTTACATATGCCCGAAAAACGTTAGTAGGGTAACTTGTTATAAAAATACGCATAATCTTTAAGATTATATTTTAAAAAAAATAGCTTAATAACAAGTTTTTGTAGCTATCTACAGACAAGTGTAATTAATTACTTTACAATGCCTTTACTTCCAATATAAATTATTTTTTTGATTTCCCATGCTATCAAATATGTGTCCTGGTTGGCGATGTTACAGTTGAAAAAAGTCACCTTGTGTATTCTACTTGATTTTTCCACGGGCCTTTTACCTAGCATCTATGACCTTTCGGGCCTAGTACTGACTGACCACTTTAAATATGCTTTAAGCTATACAATGTTATCCAAAAATGATGAAAGAGAAAAGCAAATTATGTAGACACTAACTCAAAGCAACGAATAAACTCTTTACGTCTTTACTTATATAAGAGGAAAAGTACATTTTTTCTACATTAATCATCCTTAAATACAATCTATACTCAAAACTGTCAAATACCTGGCTACTCTTTGAAAACACCCTTTGGCTGTCACTGTCAGAGTTGTCACAGTTGTCAATTGTAAATCAAGCAGCAATATAAAATGCTATGGTTAGGCAAATGTATTAAATAAAAATAAGTTTAAACTATACAATAAAAATAACTTTGATATTAAGAATTAGCTAAAATAAAGAAGTAAAAATGGGGCGACGGTCAATAAATACCACTAAAAGTGGTAAATACATGAATCCTACTGATCAAGCACGTAAGTATTGGTTGCAATTTCTTTTATATTTAAATGATATAATTTTTCTCTTTATCAATAATTGAATTTTACGAATCATGAACTAGGTAAGGAAGCCAGAAAGAAAGAGTTGAAGAAGAATAAGAAGCAAAGACAATTGGTTAGAGCGGCCGTGCTTAAAATGAAAGATCCAACACAGATTCTTGAAGAGTTGCAGAAAATTGATGAAATGGGTATGGAATCTTATTTTCTTTATTATGTTGAGCCTTTATTCCACTCCTTTGGTCATATATTTATGATGAGAGAACATTCTTGTATCACTTAATAAGTTGCAGTGTTTATAATAAACCTATCTAAGGATGATATTATTTTACTTCTTATTCTAATGTAGTACTGATTCCATTAATTGCTGATTATTTTAAGAATACAATGTGCTGCAGCCGTCACCACTAAATGAAAAAGTTTTAAAAGAGAAAAGGAAAAAATTAAAAGAAACATTTGATCGAGTTCTCAAGATGTATGTAAGTATTAAATCTTGATTTGTAATTATATACATATTAATTACATATCACATGGATAAAATTCCATACAAAATTTTGTATATCTCTCTATTTGTATTCTTTCTAAAAATAAGATTTACATACATTTTAAACTGTTAATTTTTTTTTGTAAAACTTTCATATTGATGTTCTTTCAGGATAAAGATGATCCGGAAAAATGGGTAGAACTAAAAAGACAGGAGATGGAGTATGAAAAGAGAAGGGCACATTTAATATCATATTATGAGTCTGTGAAACATGCACAATCTGTACAAGTGGATGATATTCCACTACCTACACTACAGGTAAACAAATTAATCTAAAGTAATTGGTAATGAGCATACTATAATTTAAATATAACATATTTTGTAATTTTAATTAGTTTGTACAGTGGAAGAGTCCGCTTTATCATCTTAGCATGAATGGGCCGGCACGCCCGGTGTAATGCCACAACCACACAGAAGACAGGCGTGAAATGGAAACAATTCCGTGTTTCATCTGATGAGTGTGGTGCCGGAGGCCTAATTTAAGTCCCTGGCTCTTTACCACCCTATTCTTATAAGGACAGGATGGGAAGGAAAGTGGATTTGACGGAGGAGGACATAGGAAGGGGAAATGTCCTCTTTATGTGCATCACCTCATCTGTCGGATAAGGGTAGGCAACGCATTTGCAATTGCGGATGTCTATGGGCAGCGGTTGCTTCGCCATTTTGACGGATTCAGGTGGCCGCTTGCTCGTTTGCCACCTTTTGTTATAAAAAAAAAAGTAGCTTTATGGATTTTTCCATATTACCTTTGACTGTGTTAAATTTAATAAAAGTATCTGTTTGCACAATTTCCTGTTAGGATGGTAAAAAATGTTGCTTTGTATTAATATTTATGTGAGTTTTGGTAAAAAGACTTTTGCTACTAGCTATCTCCTAAACTGCTTAATGAATCTCAATTATATTTGGCACAGATGTAGAACACAGTCTGGAAGAACAGATAATTTACTTGCACAGACTAGTGTCTGCTTGGACAAAAGATAGTAATATTTATATTTATGTGTTTGTAAGTACATATATCTTAGATTTTATAATAAAAACACTGTCTTCTACAGGTTCCTGACAATTTAATATACGGTAATGTTCCATCACAAATCCCATTACCACTGGATACTGTTCACCCGGCATTGCCAAAGCCAATTTTGAAGAAGGATTCAGTTTATAGAGTAAGTACTACTTATTACTATTATTTATTTATTTATTATATTATTATATTTAACATCATAAAGAGTATCATCATCATTTCCCCTACCTTATCCTACACCCGTAGGGTCGGTGGACCGGGTGTTCGACCTCCAAAGTATGTTTCATAAAGAGCAATGATTTGTTTTTTTGTATGTATTGAAATACCTCAAAAACTACTGGGCCGGTTTCAAAATTCTTTCACTATTAAAAAGCTATATATAAGTAACATAGGCTATATGTTTTAATTTCTCATGCGCGAAGTGGGCATTATGAAAAACCTTCATATATAACACATTTAATATGTATTTTATTTTTAATATTAAATATTTAATTGGCAAAAGAGCAAGCGGCCACTTGAATTCGTCGAAATAGCGAATCGACTTCTAATAAGCATTGTAAATGCAAATGCCTTTTATACAACAGAGGGGCACAGTAAGAGAAAATTTCCCCATCCTCTATTCAAATCCACTTCTCTCAACCATTGCTGCTTTATAACAAGGGTGGAAAAGGAAAGTGGAATATGATGCCTTTGACATGCAATTTTTTTAATTTGGTTCTATAGGGCCTCAAATTAGGATTATATATGTTTCTAGTATAATGGTATACTATACTATAATGGTTTACAGGAAAGACCAGTGGGTATAGAGCCCCCCGGAGTGCCGCCAGGTCCCCCGCCAGACTACTCACTGTTAATATTCGATGCAATGAAACATGACTCGCACAAGGAAAAGAAGAGCTTACGTTTCTCAGATTTCCCTGATGAAGGACCGCCCGGAGAGACTGTATGTATTGTTTACATTATTTATGTTTAGAAGTAGGGTTTATTATTAAAAAAGGTTTATTCAAAAATATGCTGTGATTGTTAACATCCTACATAACTAAGTAGTGTATTTATTATATTATTAAAGAAGATAATTGTCATTCTTCTGTTTTATTATACTTTTGGATTTTCTCTTATAATTAAACATTTCATAGTAGAACAATTTGTACGATTGCCGCTTTATTATATCCAGGCGCTCCAAACGTTGCAAACAATTTGTGCTTTGTTCAATTTGGGGATAATTTAATATTTATAATTTTTTCTTAGAACACCGCGGTCACTTTAGAAGCTAAAGTGAGCAAATCCGCGCACGAAGACTTAGACGGAGAGGCCATAGACGAGGAGCATCCCGCGTCGCCGTCCGCGGCGCAGGCGCACAAACCTACCTCCTTGCAGAAGAGAATGCTGGCCCTCTCCGGACAGAATATTGACGACTTCATGAAAGAGATGGAAGAGGTCCACAAGAAGAGGGAAAGGGATAGAGCTGCCGATTTGAATGCGAGGTATTTTATAGTAGAGGGTAGTTTTTACAAATTGCTATAATTATTTTGTAAATTTGTTAATTTGCAATGATTAGTACTAAATTATGTGTTTTTTTTTCACTTTTTAAACATGTCCCCTACCTTATCCTACTCCTCCGAGTTTTCGCCCTCCTTATAACTATCATCCGTCATCTCAATCATCACTCCCTCATAATGTCACCTTACATGCAATTCATTCATCTCTTTGTACGTTTACCTCTACCGGTGTACCCCCACACTCATAACTAACGTCCTCCTTGTTGGATGCGATTCATCCCTCATACTATGTTAACCTTTCACTTTTTAGTTTTGTGGGCCAGTCCCACCACTATCTGATAGAGGCAAACAATATCAGATATTTTCATTACATATTTTACACGTTGTTATAAGACAATTTACTATTTGGTGGGACATGTCCTTAATCTATTTAAATGATTTCAGACTAAGCGCGTTGAAGCGTGCTGGGGGGCGGGATAGTGACTCTGACAGCGACACGGACGCGCACCACGCGCACGCGCACGCGCACGCGCACCACGCGGACCTCGCGCTGGAGCCGCCCGGCGCCGAGCTGCGCCACATGCCGCCGCCGCTGCTGCCGCCCGGTATATGTTCCTATACTGTTTTTTTTACAGAAAAATGATAGCTTTTAAGTACAGTCGTGGAAATCCGCGATGTTTCCTTCAGGAATTGCCTTATTCAATTAACGAAATTTTCTACAAATGACTAATTAGATGCAAATGAAAGGACGTATAATGATAAAAGGAAAACGTGTATAACTTAGACTTTTTTCTCGTACTGATATATTTAAACGATTTTAGCTAGAAAAGTTGAACACCCTCAGTTTCTTCGATTGTACTTGCATACTCTCTCAAATGATTTTTTTCCGAAATCTTAAATGTAAGCTTTTTATACAAGTTGTTTTTTTACACGCGGATTCCTACGAGACTACCTTCGGAATGTAACAGCCGCGAATAGTGAGATCTTATTAATGTAGTACATTTAAATATATTTATTGTGTCTTTTTCCTGTTTGTTTTTTATTGGGAGTATTGTAATTTAATTAATTTAATGTCAGGTATGAGACCGGCAATCCGTATGCCGGCGGCCCCGCCCGGGCTGCCCCCCGGCGCGGCGGTGCTGGGCCTGACGGGCGCTCCCCCGGGCCCGCCGCCCGGCCTGCCGCCGCGCGGGGCGCTGCGCCCGCCCGGCCCCCCGCCCGGCGCCCCGCCACGCCTGCTGCGCCCGCTCGCCCCACACGCCCCGCATCCCCCGCATGCCCCACACGCCCCACATCACCCGCACGCTCCACCTCCCCCTCACGCCCCACACGGCCCCCTCGCCCCACACGCCCCGCACGGCCCGCCCCCGCCCCAGCTCTCCGTGCTCAGCGCCGCGCCACAACTTATACAGAAGAAAGATACTCCTCAAGGTAAATACATATTTTGCTTTACATCTAACTTAAATTTATATTATTACTGACTTCTTTTAAAAAGCATATAAAATATCAAGACACTTCGTATCTGGTTTCCACTTGTATAAAATATGTATAATACTGATGTTTTTATATCGATATTTCAAATATTAAAATGAAACACTTTGAGATTAATCAATAGAGTTTGAACACCGATGGCAATACATTTTAATAATTAACTCATTAAAACTTTCTTGAGATATACTACTAGTGAATTCATCCTGACGAATGATCCCCGACGGGTCGGAAACTGGTCGGTGCTATCGAATTTCACATTAAACCATGTTATAATAAATCTATTTGTAGGCTTACTCTATGCCCATGGTGAACACCGAGCACTGGTAGGGCGGCCATTTTGTCATTCGTCAGTTCGATTTGAGTCGCGATGGAGTGCGTACGCGACCATGTGCTCGATGGACGTCAATACAATTTAGACGTCAATTCAATATCTTAATCGAAACATATCGTTACGATCTATATTTATTTAGTGGAAATATGAATTGTGAAATTACCAGTACACCAACTATTAAGACAACTATTTTGTTTAAATTTGTACCACGCCTACAAGAAAATGTCATAAATCACCCGATATTACCTGATGTTAGTCGAAAGACTTTATATTTAATTTCGACTTTAGGAGCAACAATAAGTGCGAAGCCTCAGATCCGCAATTTATCTGCGGATGTGACGCGGTTCGTGCCGTCCGCGTTGCGCGTGAAGCGGGAGGACCGCCGCGGGCGCGCCGCCCGGCCCGCGCGGCCCGGCGCGCTGCGCCAGCCCGACATACCCAAGGCTCCTACCAAAGATGACGCTTATATGCAATTCATGAAGGAAATGGAAGGCCTTTTATAATACGTTAATGTATAACAACTTTTAATATAAGTAACAATGTGTTTTATTTTACTCCCTTATCGTAACATATTTGACACTAATCGTACTTATTAAGAGCGTCGGTGGCTCAGTGGTTTGAACACTTGACTTGTAATCTACAGATCTTGGGTTCGAATCCCGCCATGTACCAATGTGATTTTCGATTTTTCAAATTTTCATATATACATAATTTACCCGACGTTCTTACGGTGAAGGAAAACATAGTGATGCAACCTGCACATATCGGCGAAGAAATTCAAAGATATGTGTGAAGTCAACCAACCCGCACTTGGCCAGCGTGGTTGACTATGGCTTAGTCACCCCGTATTAGGGTAGGCTCAGAGCCACTCGGTGGGGACGTATAGTGAGCTGGTGATGATAATGTACTTAACGTAAATGCGAAAGTTTATATGGATGTTTATTAGAGTTTGTAGTCTAAACTGCGGATGGAATCTCGATTAAATTTGGCATAGATGCAGAGAACAGTCTGGAAGAACACAGGCTTTTTTTAATGCCAGGCGGACGGTGTCGAGGGCGAAAGTTAATACATTTATAAATTGAATCTGGTTAACTGTTTTTGAGATCAGATGGAATATGTACAGTCAGTTGCATAAATATATAGGCCTACTATCTCAAAATACGTATACACCGTATTCGTTATTAGTACATATTCGTAGTCAGAAGCATATGAAATAAATCGTGCATCCAAATTTTTGAAACTAAAGTCAAATACCAGAATCTGAAACTTTGTTGTTTTATATCTATAGTGACTGTACAATATTTTTGTTATATCACATTAAAGAAATTAACCAACTTATAATGTTAGTTAAAACTTCTATGTTACATAGTTGATAAATCAATTAAAAATCCTCTTATGTTTTGTTCACTGGTTTTGGACACTATTCCTGAGGTCAGCCTCTTTTACCTGAGTCGGTCGTTCTTGATAAATTATTGTAAATACACATACAACTTAAATGTAAATTAAACGCCTACATAAAATTAAGAAAAACAAAAACGTCAAAAAAATAGTTGTAGTGATGTTCAAAAAGTGTAGCAAAAGGTTTAATTAAAATTCAGTTTTATTTTTAACGTCTCCAAAATATTGAGTCGGATACCTTTTCGACCTCAGAAAATCCTTTCCAGCCAATGTTTAATTGTTATGTTGTTATTAATGGATTTGGAACTCTTAGGGAACAAATGCAACAGAGTACTATAGAATAGAAACGAACAGATCGCAGTAGAAGAAGCGAAGCCAAGAAAGAAGAGGACAGTTGTGCAAACTTATTTATTTTACAACATTCGGCAGTGTTCAATAATCGTGGGCTTACACTGTCTAAATATTTAACCCATCATTATCAGCCCTTGTCACGCTTTTTATAGTATACTGTGAAAGGCGTTGGAGTTTCATAACTCTATGAACGAAATGTTTTATACCTCTTCCTGTCTGATGAATAAAATGGCCGTGTTTATTTAAATGCATCAGTCAGTGACATTACAATGATCAATGTTTATTTACTTTTGTCGAAAACAAGTGACGCTGCTGTAATTATCGGAAATACCTTCCCTGTAAGGTTGCTTAAGCTACCGAAACTTTCATTTTACGTTTAATTAGTACATTTAAGTTCTTTTTAATATTGAATTTTATATTTTCACACCATTAAATAAGTAAATTCAGATATGTGCAAGAAATGGACAAAACATTCAATTTTCAGTTAAAAGTTTTACAGAATGTAAATAAAAATAAGGTTTTTATAGTCCCGATTAAGCTGCACAGAAACAGCTTGTTTTAACAATAAAACTATTCCTTTTCGTACAAGTTACAAGGGTATCCTTTTCGTACAAGTTTATGGAATTAAATTCCTTAACAAGAATCGATTTACATCCTAAGAGCATTAAAAGATCAAGGACAATCAAAACAATGAATCATGAACAAGTTCTAGCAAACAATTCTTTGTAAACCTTTAAAAAATATTAAAGCAGTGTTCACACAATGGTACATCTTGGTATTAAAATGTGTTCAATTCATGTCATGATGTTTATGGTATTCGATCTCACCAAATCCTTGTCTTTGCTTTTACCTACATCCTAATACACTCATCAACACATCTATTCATTTATGATCTCAAGGCAAACATTCATTTTTATATAGCTGCCAGTAATAGCAATTAAGAAGAATGTGTACTACCCTTTATAGCAAAATACATTTTCCGTGGCAATTACAGTCATATTTAAAGTGCAGTTTCGCTAATTGACTTTTTTATTCGCTACCTTAAGCGTGAAGTTCAACAGTGAAGCCCTGAGTTGTCAATTAGGGTTGCCAACTATCTATAAATAAGAACCAAAGAATAGTGGCGATAAAAGGCTTTTGAAAAAAAAAATATCTGGCTCTAGTCTTACGGATGACGCAAAAAATAATTAAATCCAATGACATGTTTCTTACCACTCCGAAGATATCAATTCTGAACTCATAGCGTGAATATGCACCGTGCAACTTGAAGATTTGGCAACCCTGGCAAAAGTAATGAGAGATATGTGACAATTGACTGGGGTTATAGCAAAATGTCGCTTCGTGTCTGAAAATTTCTTTAAATATTTCCTGTATCAGTAAATCGCAATTTCAATGGTCATAATATGGTTTAATGTAAATAAAATACAGAAATATAAAAAATAATTATCATATAATCATCAATATTGAACCACCGCGAGTAATCTTCGGTGGGATAAAAGAAAAGTAAATTTGAGAACCCGCATCTTTTTAAAAGTCGGTTAATAATACCATTTATTAATAATAAACATGTCCAAAAATAAACTTTAAAAATACAAAAAAAAAAAATAATTTTGTCTCTAAAAATAAACGCGCTTCTCATAAGGCAATTAGATTAACATCATCCTAAAATGTTGTTCACGTTCATAAAATATTAAATCATAATTAAAAAACAAATTCAAGCAAAAAGAGGGATATATACTAAATTTTATAGAGTCCATAAAAAATAATCCATCGGTAATCGAACCAATGGGAAAACAATTTCTAATAGGTCCCTCGATCATACGGGAAACACCCATTTTCACCTGTCAAATCGACTGAGTCCTTATAGTTACAGAAAAGAATACGCCTTATCTATACTATTACAATAAAGCGTAAACACACACTGCTTTATTGTCTAAGATGTCAGCAATTACAGCATATTTTCGAATAAATCTTTTTTTTATAAAAATCCCTATATTTACGTCACGCTTTAGGCTATATATTTTCACTCCGTCAAACTTAGAGGTAAATATTTTGGATAAAACCCTAATGTGGGAAAGAAACCATAAGTTGTTGCCAACATCAAGGTAACAAGGTTACCATGGTTTGTCGTATGTCATGTCATTTTGACATTTGCAATTGATAATTTGACAAATGTGAACAATAAAATAAAAGTTTTATAATTATATGCGGATGAAGTCGCATGGGAACTGCTAGTTGCTTATTAAAGATGCCCTACCATGTTTAATTTAGTCTACGCCGTATTTTGTTTTAACCACGGTCAAGACAAAATGAACACAGTTTTTCATTTTCCTCTTGCTTTATAGAATTATCGATATAGAAAAAACTCGTCTATAAGACATTTCCTCGATCATTTGACTTCGAAAACAATATTGTCGATAATTTGAATTTGTGTTCTAAACTTAAAAAATACATTATGAATTTAACGGTCACTGGTTATTACCTGTTTTTAACTGGAAATTAGTTACGAGTATTGTCGTTTAATGCCAGTTTTTGACGGTACCATGAGCAGTGTTTTTCCCTTCGCACATTATGGCACAAGACCAATAGATCGTAACAAATATTCGAAATACAATATGCCTACTCCTGTGCCATTGTATTCAAAACATCAACAATCGCAGATGCGTTGCGTACCCTAAATCGACGGAGGAGGAGATGCACATAAAGAGGATATTTGCCCTTCCTATTCACCGTCAAATCCAGTTTCCCATCTAAACCTTTCCTTATAAGAAAAGGGTGGAACGGGAAAGAAACTAAAATTGGGCCTCCGGAACCACATTCATCAGATGAAACGCGGAATTGTTCCCACTTCACTTCAGTTTTCTGTGTGGTCGTGGTATTTCACCGGGCGAGCCGACCCATTCGTGCAAAGATGTTAAAGCGGGCTCTACCACTGTAAATATTGTTAATGATTATGCAAATGTAGTTTCGTATTTCTGTATTTAGATTTGAAACTCTTGTGGTTTTATATTTCTATTAAAAATAAACTGTTTACGACCCCGATAAACCCTAAATTTAATCGTCTTCTAACATCATTATTAAAATACAAACAAAACAAATGCTTGTCTGGTTAGAAACAAAAGTTCAATAACATATAAACGTGTCAAAGAATTTTATCTGTAAATAAATGCTTTTATTTCCACCTTTTTCTTAATAAGTTGTTAGGTATGTACATTTTAATGAAGTCTAGTTTCCTCACCTCTTTGGTCTTTAACCTTTTCCTTTAGTTTTAAATTCAATATGTTAAGTTTTAAAAATTAATTATAAATGTAATGAAACTTGTATAATACTTTAAAAATGACGATATTATTATTATTATTTCGGTATTGCAATAACTAAAAATAAAATAAACATGAATAAACAATGCGTCTTCGATATGAAATATGCAGCCCATTGCTACAGATGCTCAAATTCTGACAGATTTAACTAGAAAGAGAGTAAATGTGTCTATGGTCTCAATTTAAATTCAAAATATAAAGTTAAAACAAACAAGTTGTTAAATAAAACTACAACTGTATAGTCCGGTACATAATGGGGCTTTACGTGTCTTTTAACATTACTTCTATCGTGATTGGATATAATTAATATAAAAACGTAAGGATTGGAATAAAAATAACCTACCTTTTTTATTTTCATTGAATTGTTAACCTTTACTTTTTTCCAGACCTTACTCTATTCTATTCTACTGCTGTAGTGTCGATATAAGTACTAGTATAGTATTATTATATTTCTAGTATTATTATACCTAGTAATAGTATTGTATTAATCAATGGCTATCTATAAACAAAGAGTATGTACAATCAATGTTATTGCTTATTTTAATGATGACGAATGTTTCTATTAACAATTCTTGTGACTTGCGAAAGTGTGATAGGTTACAAATTAATTTATTGTTGTTTTATTATTAGCCGAAATGCAATATAAAATTAATGAAACATTCCGATTTAGCATCTGTGGAGAGAAAATAATGTATAGAACATAACCTATGTTTGGATGGATATCATGGATCGAAATTGTACATTGTAGTTACGAGAATTCCAGTTGTGTTTGGTAGACTGGTTGTTCCCCGGATTTAGTAATGCATGACACGAGGTTTTTAATTTTTATAAAAATTGGTATGCACTAAACAAGGCCTTGTAATGCAATGATCCATACTGCATGCGCACAATGCATGCTTCCTAGAACAATGGCAGCGTCACTATTTAATACAATCAATTGTAGTCGATATGCATAACGATTTTACGATAGAACGATTGTAATGTCAGTGTATATACATTTAAATCCACACAAACGATACATCTTGACTTCGCATGGGAACCAACACATGTTAGAGACTTATAAATGTTTCAATTTGCAAGTTAATAATAAGATAAAAAACATTCCATCTCTAAGTTGAACCAAATTATACACATTTTCTATGATTGGTTTAGTAGTGGTGATATGATCAAGAAAAGAGTGATGAATGAGGACGGATAATATAGTTATTTGGAGGACGAAAACCCGGTGCGCTGACCCTACGAGAGTAGGATAAGGTAGGGGAGATGATGATGATTTGGTAGTTTCCGGTTTATACTGAACATATATTATACCGTTTTTAATCACAGAGACAGACTATGTAACATTTTTGCAACAAATACATAGGTATACATGTGATAGCGAGTCATCTCTAACGTAAGGAAAAAGTAAAAGAAATGAAACCACATTTTTCATTTATTACACCTGGACGAAGCCGCGGGAGAACTAAGATCGAAAAATAAGATTTTACCGTTAAGTAAAGATATAAACTGCGTCGAAAAGAATGTAAAGTGGTTGTAACGTTGAGGTCATTGAGAGATAAGAAACATCTAATTTACAAATTATGTTCAAATTGCAGACAAAGTAAAAGGTATGCTTTTATCGAAATGTAAAGAAATAAAAATGTAAAGGGTTTGTGATGATAAATAATTGTAATCAATTGAAGGCTATTGTTTACAACATCGTTGATATGTCCATGTATGCCACGGTCAGAAATCGTGACTTTTATTGTATTTTTTGAAGATTCAATAAATCTCATGAATGTTATTCCAAGAAAGGAGATAAACTCAATTAATATACTCAGGTGTTCAAATGAGAGGATTAAAGTAAAGTTTGATTGTAGAGAGCATAAATACAAAATTTTAGAATACTACATTACGTGATAGGGTCTTTAACGGGACTCTTTATGATTTCAGAAGCGCTTTTGACATACTTCAGTGAGAATGCTGGCTTGATACCACCACATCTATCTTTAAGTTATATGGATACTTGTATGCGGAGAGCGGCGGTAGAGCCCAAAACACTGAAAAAACAAGAAACGAGGACTAAATAAAAAATTATAATTTACGCTAATGTGCCAATCTCAATTGGTAAAGTAGTAAGGAAACTCGCATTAGGTTTATATGCAAATATTTTAGGATAATTGAACAATCACGTTTATCTGGTTTTAAAATATTTCCGGAATTTATAATCATTACCCGTTAAAATGCCTGTTTTTTGTAGTTTGTTATACATTCAGTAGTAGTAAACCAGCCTCTAAGCGATCATCAACGGATACTTATCATAATTTGTTGACAAAATATCGCATTCTCAAATATTTAATTACATTCTGTTATGTTAAAACAATAAACCACCGTTTAATGATAACAAAGATCGTTATTTTAAAATAATAATATTTATGTTTGTCTTAAAATGCTTATTTTATACAATTTTAATGGTTATATTTTAAAATTTTGTTTTGAGATGCGTTACAAATGACGTTATTTTCTAATGAACCAATAAAACTTAAAAGTGACATAGTTTCGTACGTCTGACTTTCAGTATTATTTATAAATGCACTTTCCACAAATAAAACAGTTGTTCATTCTTCCATTGAATGTACACCATTTTGATATGACTGACGATAGGCAAAGAGGTCTGTTCGTTTCTATCATGTGCTGCATTCATTTAAGTGTCTCTAAATGTAACATTAAAATCCAAACTCTCCCGTTAAAAAGGATAACAAAACGTTGTCCAGCCGCCTTATTACTTTCCCGGAAATGCATGCATGAACTTCGTTGCGTTTTTGTACGCGTGTGCAAAGTCTTGACATCTGGTGTTGGCACCGTTCGTAGTTCGTAGCGCCAGTACGTCGCTGCGCGCCAGCCACGCTGGGTTGTGCGCGATAACGAGCTGGCCATTTAAAATTACCACGACACCTGATTTAAAAAAATACGAATGACATCGCGCTTTTCGAAATTCAATTTTTAGTTCGAAATTTAAAATTTAGTGCAAATTGTGCATAAACATATGCAAGATTTTGTGACTTTTAAATGAGATCGTTATTCGTGTTTCTTTGAAATATTTTCAGGAAAAGAAGGTAAGAAGTACTTATTTTGTTTTTTTTATTTAACTTATCACAATATAATTTTAAATGTAAAATTATGAACGACATTAAAAAAAGTACTTGAAAGTTTGTTTTAATTTCAGGAGCATTGCACTTTTTTAGCATAAAAATATTTTGTTACTATATTTAAATTAAAACTAAAAGTAAATAACTTGAATTACTATTAGTAACTGATTTTTTTAAATTAGTTATTTGATTTCCTAAAAGTGATGTTTTCTACTACCACTGTTTATCTTTCATCAGAAAATTGATACCTTGATTTCCACGAAGAGTTTTTACTTCAACCCACTTTAGTACCCACTTAGTACAAATCTTTGCTTAAGGTTTATAATTCTGTTTCTGAGTAACATGGAATCAAAATTATAGTTATTAATGTTGTATTTTGCATTCAGACATTTTACGTGACCTAATGACATACTCGTATGTAGTTTTCTTTTACGAACACGATATTGTAATGAAGCTTCGCCGAAGTTGTTATTTTGCATTCTTTTTTAACCGACATTTTTATTTCACTTATGCTGGGTTGCTGAAGTTTCCATTTATTTTATTATTGTCTAATGATTCTTTAGTGACCTAAGTTTCAACAGAGTTAAACTCAAGTTATATACTTCGGAAAGACATTTCATAAATTTATCGAACTAATAACAGTATTAAATGGTTAAATGTAGCTGGGAAACCGGTCATCAATATTTTTGTTATTCTATTTTTAAATTTTGTTTCGAATTATACGGATTGTAGAATACAATCTTACTTTTAATATTTATCCTCAATATCCAAATCACCATGTAAAATGATTTAAAACAAAGTATTATTTCGATCATCTTGAATATCCGAAAACATCTATCCTGGAAATAGAGAGATCTTAGTCCCGATAATTTTATGTTGCCACATAGAAACTTTTTGCAGAATTCGCTTAATGTTCTGCACAAAGTGATTTTGTTATTTCTTATGGTTCGTTGAGTGAACTCTTAGCTCCGTTAATGAGGCATGACATGTTAACTCTTTTAATTATACTACGTCACAATAGCGTCGGGAACGCAGATGTCAATCGCTTGAACGTATTGGAACACAATCTGTTCAGGTTCGATGTCCGCCATATACATTTGAGTTTTCCATTTGAATTATGCAATCCAACGTTCTTACGGTGAAGGAAAACATTGCGATCAATCTGCTATTATCAGCGAAGAAATCCAAAGATTTGCATGAAGTAAACTCCCTTTACTAATTTAGAGTAAATTAATGACAAACATAAGTTTTAACTAATTAATACTAATACATCTCATAAGAATTTTAAAAAGTTATTTACTGTTTTTGTTGAATGGGTGGATAATATTATCTTTTTTGCAACCATATAACCAACTGCTGGGCACAGGTTTCCCTACAAGATTACCACGATAAACAGCCTCTCGCATCTAAGATACTCCCACAACTTTGACCAGATAATAAATCCATCTCGTGGGAGGCCTAACAACGCAGCATCTACCTGTCCATGGCCGACATTTTAGAACTTTGCGGCCCTATTTGCCGTCTGTACGTTATGGTAGGCTCCGAGCCCCTCAGTGGTGAAGAACAGTGAGCTGGTGGTGTGAAGTAAAAATAGTACCCAAAAATTGATACTTGATTTTTCTACTTCGTTATTAATTCATAAAATATTAATTATGTGTGTCTAAACTTATTATTGGTTTTAACATTTATTCATATAACGTTATTAATACCTTCTCACAAATATTATTCTTTTGCCATTTTCTAAATATGATTTAAGCGTTGTGTTAATTAACATAAGATTGACTAAACAGATAAATTAAATTAAAGCGTCTAAGAAATAAAATAAATTATTCACATTAAATGCGTGACATGTCAAATGACCTATAAAATATTAGGATTAACAATACAAAGATCTATGTTATTTTTATCAATACCTAAATAATTGCATATCTGATTAGGGCACGATTAAAATCGATAACGAAAACGAAATATTTATTATAATAAACAAAAAACAATTGTTTTATGAGTAACATTTGAAAAAGGGTCTAATGTACATTAAGGGCCGATCGAATCTGTAAATCCGACCCTGGCGTTTCGACTCTGTCAACCTCTAATCGTTCTACGGTATAAGAATCTGCTAAAGGAGAAAACGATGGCCGTGGAATGTGATTGGGTGCTCACCACCGGAGGAAATGCCGGAATGCACATCTGCATTGCGCATAGTCTAAGGTCATTGTACTATACTGCGGAGTGGTTCAACGCCTTATCCTCGCCTTTTGCATCACTTTCCATCGCTGGAAAATATTGTTATCTGCATTTTTTTCAAAGAATAAGTGCCTGTCCCTCGACTGGTTGATCGAGGCTCAGATAGCTTGAAAATGATGCCACTGTCAGATAAGGTAAGAAAATCCGACATTTCATCGCATATTTTACACGTTGGATTGTTATCAGACAATTTACAATTTGGTGGGACAGACCCTTAGTAGTGCAATTATACTATTGTATACTGTAACACATCTGCATGATTCTAAATTATTGCAATCCTGGGAATTGTAAAAAAAAGCTATAAACAAATCCTTACTCGTATCGGATATCTTCTTCTTCGTATGTTCATTGCTGAAGGTCGTGTTTGCCCTGGTAATCCTTTACCGTTTCATCTACCAGCTGCCTCCACGCCGCCCTGTCTTCGGCTTGTCTCAGGGCAGCCGGGATGTTGAGTCTCAGTATGGACTGCACCTGATCAGTCCATCGAGTAGGTGAATGCCCCGGTGACCTTTCAAGTAACCCGTATCACATATAGTAACATTTTTTTTACAAATATGTTTAACGTTTTATAATTTAAATGAAATGCATAAATGGACAACAGTCTCTTACAGATAGGAGCGAATATGGAGTGAGTTTTTTTTAAATAAATCTTTGTTTATTCCCTAAAAGGACTCTGTTGTCGGACGCTCAGAAACGTTACTATGCCAAATATCATCTAAACTTTCGCATTTATAATGTTAGTAAGATTGTTGAATCGTGTATCAAAACAAAAACTGTTCGCGTCCTTTTTATTCAATATTATCACAATTTAATTTGTAAGAATTGGTTATTAATTTTAATTGCCAAACATGTTTAGCATTTTGACAGGTCAAGTTCTCACCAATTTTTCTAAATAAAATAAATAATTTCAGTTAATAATTTATTTTAATTAATTTAATTAGTCTTATTGCCCGATTGTTTTTTTTTACTTTTTGCTTAGGTGAATACTTAATTGACGACTGTGGGTTTCCGGGTCGCAACAGTTGCAAAACAAAAAGAATATTGTCGTTGATCCCTTTGAAAAAAATGACCCTTAGAATATTAATATTTTAATACAATGTTAGGTAATAAATAATATAAAATGACATATTGATATATTTGACTTGTTAGCTCTTTGTTGTTATATCTTTAAAAATCATTATCTTTTGTAGATAACTAGGACACTTTTTCGTTCTGATCTGTTTATCAAAAATGCATTCACTTGAAAAGAATTGTGTCACGGTGCACATTAAACCACTCTTACATGAAATATCTTATTTATTTTATTAAAATAAAATAAAGAATTTTACAAGGTGTCGCCGTTCACCCAGTTTAAATTGAGATTGTAATTAAAAATTTAAACAGTACGCGAAGCGATTTGAAGATTTCGTCATGTAAGTACGATTTAACATATTTTTTGTATTTGTTTTAATTTTTAATTTATGCAACATGATTACAAATATTCCCTTTGTTAGTGTCCAGTGAGATTTGTCCTGTAACAACTTTGCAAATCTGTATAAATACTTTTGATGTAGATTTTACCACCGATTCGATAGTTTTTGATGTCAATTGTATTGTAATACACATTTAAAACCGTCGGATTTTTTTTACTGGGGTCAATAAAAATAGGTACATACAACATTGTTATATGTAAATAGAACAGGTGACATAAGAGAATTTAAAAATTAATAATGACTACACAAACGACTACGCATGTCTTAAATGTTTAGAAATAAAACGCCTTACTGAATAAATTATGAAGGAATATATTTTTGCAAATAAATAATATTGTATCCTTAATGAAATTTAAAGTCAAAAAATTACCAAAATTGTTTGCATTTGTGTGTAACAAAGTAAAAAAAAAAAACATAAAAACTTTTTGATATTTATTTAAAGAAATAACGATAAAAAGGGAAATTGATTATAAAATAACATAGGAATTTCAATAAATTACTTTTCCTGGACCACTAATGGACAGTCTTTAATATCATGGTGTCTTGATGTTTTTTGTATAATCGCATAAGGTAAACGCAACAGAAGATGACCACTTAAGTACTCAGATTTTTTTTAATGTTCTATTTTAATTACGATCTTATTGCAAAGATCTGTCTTATTTTGTAAGCTTTGTAGAAGTCTTTTAAAGAATTAACCTGTATTTTACTTGAGCAATGGATGAATAAAAAACAAAATAAAATCCGATTTTAGAGATTTAGTAGCTGACATCAGTAGATGACCATTCAGATGCATGAGTTTTAACCGGGTTGGTTGTTAATTAAGAAACAAAATAAGATAAAACCACGCTTTATTTGAAATATGTAACATATAAAAGAATGCATCTTAGGTACATCGAATACGTTTCTAGTACTACTCGTCTTCTTGGGCTTGTTCGTAAGATACGGGTTTCCCAAGGATACACGGGCACAGCTATATGTTCAGGCTACTTCCATAATGGACCATTCGCTTTCATAGATGATATTGTTTCTGTGTTTTTCCTAGCTTTAAGTACCTTCTCTAGATAAAAGTTATCATTGTACTTAGATACGACAAATTCGCCATTGACTTTTCGCGGCGGTTTTAAATCCACAGTGTCAGATTCTTGATTCATCTCATTGTCTGTCTCATTAACACTTTCACCTGAAGACCTGAAGAGTTTTTTTTACCTGTTTAGTTTGGGTTGAATTTTTTTTTGAGAGTCTTTATTCTCT